CAGTATGAGAGACAGACACACACAGAGAAAGCACCTCCACCTCATCTCCAGACAAATACTTACATCCTTGAACGGATCTCCCCGTGACATCTGCTCCTGCAGTTCTTTCTGCAGCTCCTTCCGAGCTCCTATGGATTGCTGGTTCCGAACATACTCAGAAAGTTCTTTTAGTCCTGCTTCAGTGAAGTACTTAGAGAAGTGTTCAACACTTTGTTTGTTGGCTGGGAAGAGTTCCTGAAAACAAAGTTTACAACTTTTTTGTGAAAGAAATGTGTGTTGAGTACCTTGCTGGCAAATTCTATTTTACTAAACTGGCTTAAGCAGTAGGAGAGTAATTTCAGTGGTACTCACCATCAGTCTATTATCCATGTTTACTTTGCGAAGACTGACAGCCACTGCATTAATATCTTTCTCATTTATCCATGATTTGAACAGCTTGACTGCAAAAGCTGCAGAAACACCTGTGCAATAAGAATAGTACTGTTTTTAGTGACAGTACTAAAAACAAAAAACAAAGGGAATCATAAGGCCCGAGTTCAGGGCACCTAGTCTGTCAGACCCCTGCTCAGAGCAGCAGCAGCTGTGCTCCCAGCAACCCTAGCACTGTCTGCAGAACCCCTCCCTGCCTGAGGATACTGCAGCCTCCAGCACACTGGACTTCTCTTACCATTCAGGGACATGAAGTCTTCCTGTACTAAACTTGACTCTCCTTGCTGCAATTTAGGAAGAAACCTAAAGACATGACAGACCTTTTGCATGCTGAAAGGTCGCTCTCCAAAATACAATACTGCCTCTCTGGGCAACACTAGTGATGGCAGCCCCCAGTGTCATGCAGGCAAGTCCTACACACAAGGACTTTTTTTCTGAAAAAACTCATTTTCTGAAGTCTTAGCAAGACCTTCCAGGTTGTGGGGCATGTTTACCTTTGCTAATCCTGTAGTTAATCTATCACCAGATGAAACTAGAGAGCTGCAAGGAGTATTGTTGTTGTAATACCCAGCTACTTGTCATGGTTCTGTCCCCCACCACCTTCCCCTGAAGGAGGAGTTGGGCAACACTTACCTTCTTTAACCAAGTTCTCATTGTAAAGACTGTTGAGAATCGATGCATTCAGTGTCCCATTGGCCAGCAGAATACCCGTCAGCATGGCCAGTTTGTTCCGCTCAGATTCCGAGAACCCTTTCAGGAACAGCAGCAACTGCAAGAGAAAGTAAGAAGAAGAGTTGCCCTAAAACTATCACCTCTCACTAAACTTTGGACACTCTGTGTTAAACATTTTTGTTTCAGTCAAACTGTTCAATTAGCAGAAGCACTGGTAGTCTTCTCCACTAGTGACAGCAGCTTGCTGTTCTTTTATTAGAAACTTAGACGTGTTGTATTTTAATAATCCACTTTATGCTGTAACTCTTCTACAGTGATTAACTAGCAGAATTTGAAGGTTTATTTGTCTGCTGATAAACACCCACTCCATACCTTTTTGACTTCATCCTCAAAGCCTTTCTCCAGGTACTTGTAACGCCTGATGAGCTTGTTAAAAACCTAAAAAGACAGATCATATTATTTTTTGCTCTAAACTATCATTCAATTACAATTTTAAAAAACCAAGTTCAGTAAAGTGGGTCTGAACTCTACAGAGAACTTTTAGAACACTGCTACTCTTACCACTTCCAGTATGCTTCTTAAAGCCACATATTATTCTTACCCAAACCTTCAACTACACAAACATTTCATTTTTGACCACTAAACAGTTTTAAGTTAAATTGTACTCATTTCAGAACTAACCTGAGCAAATGCTTGCATGGTTTCTAGGTCTTCCTGTGCTGCAAATACACAGACGTTTGTGCGTGTCATGTCATCTGCCAAGGTACCACCTGGGGCTGGAGGAGGATTTCAGCATTAGTAGTGTTACTGCCCAGGGAGAGTACTGAGTAGTCTCCACAGTAAGAACTCCAGTTCCCAAAACATGCAACACATTGTCCTTTCGTGATGTTGAATGACCTGGCCACTGAAGATATCCCTACATTTCCATCTGTTCCACTGCTGCAGTGGAACTTTAAAATCAGTACCTCAGATTTGAATATTTAAATATTCTGGCCCCCTACTGCTAAGTGGACTGGCAAAACATCTTGTTTACATGTGACTAAGTTAACATGGCCATGTAAGCGTCTCTTCTCTTAAAGGGAACCACTGAAACTGCTTAATCATAGCAAGTGTCTCTAGTGTCTGCAGCAACAGTGCTTTGTAAGTGCCTTTTACATGGCACAGTAAGTCACAATAGGAGATTGAAACATGTAAAGATGCATGTTCAAAATTCAGTGCCTCAGAGATGAGTTTGAAACTTGAGGTTTTTTTAGGCTGCTTCACTAATGAAAGTGCATTCAGGTCACCAGCTTCACTGCCAGAACACCTCATCATGGGTTTCTATGCCATCCTACATACAATGGAGATCCTTATGTTATTAGCCAGATACATGGCTTTAAAAACAGAGATGAGTATTAACAGTAATATTAAAAGGTGGTAAGGCAACAGGATGTCAGTTTTTATTCTGGCCTCATCTGACTGAAGATCAAAGCCAGTCTACTTAGCTATGTGTTAGAGAGGGACTTGAGTAAAGGACCCCATATTACCAGTAACGCAGCAATGCCTTCTTCCCTTCCCTCTCAGCCTTATTCCTAGAAGAAACACTTCCTAACACAATATGCACTGGTTAAGACTCTTAAATGTAAACCCACATATCATAACAATTACAACCTGTTAGGTGAGCAGCTGTTCCTCTTTGCTCTTTACACACATGTACACGAGTTTATAAGACTTTTTGTCATCACATTTCACTTCCTCAGTTCCCTGTGTTTTCTGCTGACTCAACCACCCTCTCATTTCTCACTCCGTGATGTCTGCTAGAGCCCATAACCCACTGTCAACAATAAATGATTTGTAATAGCATTTCTAAGAGCACTTCAGATTCTTCTGTAAACAAGTTTCCTTTCCAAAATAAGAGGGCAGGATGCACAAAGCACAGGATAATGTCAGAATCATTCAGGGCAACTCCACTGGTCTTGTGACCACAGAGCACACACCTGAAACAAGCATTCATCCACCTCACACCATCAGAAATGAACTTGACTAAAGAGTCAAGACCTACACCTGGTAAAAAAACCCCAAAAAACAAACCAACAAAAACCAACTAAACACACAATCAACCAACAAAAAATGCCAAATAATCCAGTATCTTTTTTTAAGCCAAATTTGTACAATCTACACTTTGAAGAACGCAAACAGACTCAAGTAAAACTGCAGGAGGGTATACAGAGCATTTCTACAGCAATTACTTAGTCACCAAGACGGTCATATAGTTTACCACAGATAACTTAAACCCTGTTCCACACACTGAACAGGCTCTTTAGCAGAGTTTTTACACTGAAGGAAAACTGAGCTTTTGCAGAGTCACGTGAATGAAGCTGACAGAGCCACATCAAAAGGACTTACCCAGCATTCCACCAGCCACCAGGATGTCAAAAAGTGTTTCTGCATAGCGGCGATAGTCAAGTTTTGCACCAGAAGCATCAAGAAACTTTGCTACTGCCTCCAAGTCAGTGCCAGTTTCACTTAAACCTTGAATAATACAGTCCTGGAACTGAGTAGGGTCAAACCTCTCTTTTTCATCTGTAAAGAAGAAGTGTTGAAATAAAATTTCTGTACACTGTTTTTTGTTATTTCAGTCTTATTAAAAAAACAAAAAACAACTAAACCAAATTTGCACTGACAAACTAGACAACTGTATTAAGTAGCACAAATAGTGACTTAATAGCATAGCCTGAAATGAATTTCAGTGGCCAATACAGCAGTGAGGAGTCTTGCTGCTTTCACTCCCATGTTCAGTCAAGGCTGGGAGAGAGGATACCAAAAGCTAGAACATTGCTTAGTTACTTCTAATTGAATTCTTACCATATTTTCAGAACAGTTGTTCACAATGATCATTGCTTGACTCTGATAAAGCTTACCTGACTTCTCAGTTTGATTCTTATACCTCCATGGACGTGTCAGATCACTCTTTCCTCCAAAACAGGCAACTTAGCTCATGCTGGAAGGCAATTCTTAATACATGCCCCCATGGTTTTGTACATTTGACTCCATTACTATGTTTCATTTCAGCTCTTTGGGCCTCTCACTGTTTTGGAAGAAATACTCTGACTGACAAGCTGAAGTTAGAGTCATTTGACAGTGTTCACTTTTCAGCTACGAAGATCCTTCCCTCCTTTTAATGTGGAATTAAATGAGTCTGAAGTAATTGCTTTTCCTCAGGTGCCTGGGGGAAATGTAGACATATGAGCTAACTTAATGGGCTATAATTGCATGTCTATTTAGCATCCTTTGTTGTTGTTAAAGCAGAACACATACTTCTTCATATCTGAGATACATCCACTGATCATTGCCTTATTTTCACTACAGGTAGTAGTTCAAAATGCAACAAATCCATCCATGTAACTAACAGAAAACCTTAAACAGAAGCAGTCTTTAATTTTGCTCATCTCTATTTGTCCTTAGATTACGCAAACCATGCGATGAGAAGCTTTCAAAGATACAGAACTCAGCTGCACATCTTATTTTGAGTGCTGTCTACAATGGCTTAGCCACTTCTGGTGGGTTAGCAACCTAGCTGGCATACTGGTGTCCTGGTGTCCATGTAAGTACCCACACACTGGTAACAGCTGGGTGGAAGTCTGGAAATACTGGATCTTCCAGGACAAATCCACAAAGCTCATTGTTCCAGCAGTTGCTTGAAAACAAACTGTGGTTAAAAAGAGACTAAAAGCCAGGCCACTAGCATTTCCTCTGCTGGACAGACTAGATTGAACTCTCTCACTCAAGAGTTTCTCAAGGGGCTTTGACATTAAAACAGGTTCTGTAAATCAAAGCATACTTCTGTACGTGCAGAATCCTTAAAGCTGCCTGTCTGAGCTGGAACACTGCTGGTATCCTAGTAAAACAGTATTGAACAGGAACTCTAAGAGCTGCACCCACTTCCTCTATGGGTTTAAAAAAAACCCCACCAAAATACTAAGTTATTCATTGCACCTCTTCAGTCATTAACTCTTCATATGGAACTAACTGTGCTCCTACAGAGACAGGCATTTGCACATCCCACACCTTGGGCTTTTTTTGGATGTTCGCTGGGGAGTGGGTCTGTTTGTGTGATTTTGTCGTGGGTTTTTTCTGTCAGTTTTTTTAAATTAGGTATTCTTATAACATTAAGGGGACAAAGTAACTTTTATCCAGTGGCTAGGACTGAAATCCTTATTGCGTTAGATGCTCCTTTGATGCATGTATCAACCTGCAAAAAGCCTGTGCTGGAGCTCCCCTGTAATTCCGGGTTATCAGATACTTCTGCTTTCAGGCTAAACACAGTTCTCACAGTTCTCACGGTTCCAGAATGACCATCTCCTAAGCCAAGCTTATCACAGTAAATTCGGCGACAACTCTTACTGCCAAATATGTCTGATTAGTGCAGAGAACGCTGCAGCACCCAGAGTCGGCCTCCAGACTCTGCATTTGGCATGCTCTCACTTAAGGGAGTTTTGAGAAGAGCATAAAGGCACTGGTTTGTTTGCGGACACAAACTGATGTTTTACCGACCGCACGGCGCCGGCAGCCGGTCCTGGCAGCGGGCACGGCGCAAGAACTCACCTCTCTTTCTGGTTTTAAAACGCTGGCCCGATAGTGTCGGCTTCTGCGGCTTTTGATTATTCATAAAAGACACCCTGCAAGGAAACAGAGACACCCCTCAGGGCACTGGCGAAGGGGCCGTGCCGCTCCCGGCCGCCGGCCCCGCGGCGCTGGGCGGTGCGGGCGGCGCCGGCTCCCGGCACGCACCGGGCTCCGGGCGGGGGCGGCGCGGGGCGGAGCCGGGCCCGCCGCGGCGCCTCTGGCCCCCCGCCCCCGCCGCACGGAGCCCGTCGGGAGCTTCCCTGTCGCCGCCGCGCTCCCGGTGCCCGTGCGGGGGCGGACGGAGAGGGACCGATCCCCCCCCGCCTCCACCCGAGCGCAGCGCAGCGCGGCCCTCGCGGCCCGGGCTGCCCCAGCCGGCCCCGCCGGCCGCCCCCCGCCCGCGCCCGTGTGCTCACCGACTTTAAGGCAGAGAGAAAACGCCCGAGCGGCCCGGAGCGCAGACGGGCGAGAGCGGCGGCGAGGAGCGGTGGCGGCGGAGAGAGAGCTGTGCGAGCGGAACCGACGCCAGAGGAAGAGGGAAGGGCCGCGCTCCGCCCCGCCCCGCCGGAGAGCATGGAGGGAAAAAGGGCGGGGATCGGTCCGGGCTCCCGCCCTGCCCTGGCCGTCCTCCGGCCGCAAGGGGGGACCCGCGGGGCTTGCGCGGCCGAGCCCGGCCCGGGAGGGAGCGCGTCCGACGAGAGTGCAGGCACATAAGGAGCGCCGGGGGAACACCGAGTCCTGCGGGGCACTGGGCATTAATGCCGGGTCTGCTGTGCTATTTTTATCCTGGATTTGCTGTTCAGTTTTAATAATCGCCTCTTTCCTCCAATTCTGACGATAACATCATCATATAAACACTTGACATATAGTAGTCTGTGCAGACAGGATTACCAGTTAAAAGCTGCTCACATCTGACACACAACAAAGTCTTTGAGTTCCAGAAGCACAGACCTTCTCTACTGCCGTTAACACAGGTTCTTCCACTAGCAATCATGATAACAGGTCTCATTCTACCTTCAGGCTGTGGGGCAGTGTGTGTCCGTTAGCAAACAGCATAAACAAACCCAGTGTGTTAGTGAAGGGCCTGTAAGTACTTTCTAAAAAACATGCTGCCAAACTCGCCCAGCATCACGTAACTGGAGACAAAACCAGCATACTGTCCATGCTGGTGTAGGACAGGAGATGCAACTCAGTTCTTTGCTCCCCAAAAGGCCAAACCACTAAACTAACGTAGAGATCACAAGCTTCCTTCTAGACCTCACACAGCAGCAAATCTCCACGGGGGTAAAGGATAATATTCCTGTGACTAAAGCTCTTGCAATGACCAGTTATCAGGTGTGTAAGTGGAACACATCACTGTGCTTCAGGAGTGGAAAGTGGGGTCATTCTTATTGTCAGTAGGAGCCAGATTTCACCATTTTTGTTACTAGTGCTTTCTTGAAACGATATTGGTTATAGATCCCAGTGTCATGAAATAGCAGGACAGCCTTACAAGTTTGCTTTTATTCAAGAAACATTTTTACAGGTTCCAGTTAACAGCCTGATGAAATCCCCAAAATACTACATTCAAAAATACCCTAAGGGAGTTTCAGAGGAAGGATTTTCACCTTAATATTTGCAAATATTTCTCCATTCATTCTAAACCCAAGACCCTGATTACTTTGGTACTCATTCTAAACTGAGAGGATTTGTCTGAATCACAATTAAGTAAAAAGCCAAGAAGATAAATCAGAAATTATTAAAATTGCATTTTACAGAAAGGAACAAAAAGACATAATAGTTCCTTGCTGTCAGCTTCCTGAAGTCTTTGATATTACAGAACTGCAAAGTCTATTAACAGTTGAGCTTTTCCCATTAGCTGTAATTTCTCACCATTTACCAAGAGAAATGATCAGGAAAACTTCACCCACATAAGCTAGAAATTTCCTTATTACTTGCAATATTAATTTACATGTAAAGGAATAAAATCTTGTCGTATCTCTACAGATTTAAATTAAACATGACTTATTTGAGGGTGTGTGCAGGTTGCACTCTCTTCTATACTGAGTTAATTTAAGCCTCACCCTTAAAATAAATGAAAATAGTCTAAATTTCTGTCTATTTAATGAGGATCTGAACTAATGAAATACCCATTAAGCATCTCCAGAGTTATTTCTTATGCTAGTGTTCTGGGTACAAAATGACGTTGTTAAATGTGTTCTTACTGTAAATTTGATTGCTTTGAACTATCAAATATCAAAGTCGAATATTGATTTGTATATATTACTATGTTGGCTTAGCTCAGCCATTCCCTTTTCTCCCTCTCAAATACCTTTGCACTTGCTTTTCAGTCTCCTCTCCTCATGGGGAAATGAGCACACAGCTGCCACCAGATCACTTTAAAAGCTCCTTTCTGAAACAATCTCTGTCAGAGTACGAGTTGTTTGGCACAGCTCAGTTAAATTGTGAGCTGACACACTATGATGAACTTCTGTTGTCACTGTTTCCCTCAGCTCTGCTCCCCTCCACCTTTTCATCTACACATTGCTATGCAGGCCTGCTGACTGCAAGGGGCAACCTCACCTGTGTTATGGTCACTCGAAGCTGGTACTGGGAACCTGTCCTGCTTTAACCCTTCCTACCTCCAGTACACCTCTCTTGCATCGTGCCTTCTCCTCACCTACAGATGAAAGCATCAGCTATGTTCTGCTTCACCATTTTGCTGGAAAGAAGGAGCAAAACTGTGGGTAAGGAAGAGGAGAAGAGGAACAAGTGATGACGAGGCAGTGAGTGAATAGCAGTGATTATATTCCAGCTCTAGGAGAGGTCGAAGTTGATAGTGGTTCAAAGAGATCTGGTGGTAAGGAGCAGGCTTGAGGTAGGCTGCCAGGAAGCAAAGAAGCTTTACTGGTGTATTACTGTGGTTACTGTAGTGGTAATAATATATCTGTGTCTAGAAATATTTGGTAGTATGTACTTTCAGAATATCTCTTTTACTGAAATATTGATACATTGCCCATCACTAATTTGTACATTGTCTAATTTTGATCTTTGGGATTTTCGTATGTTGGAAGAACAGAAAAAATAGATAACAACAGCTGTGACTCTCAAACTGGATGTAGAAGTGACAAAATGGTACTATTTGTGATCTGCTCTTCACTGCAGATATTTTCAGAATCTCATGCAAATGCTTTGAAGTTCTTGAGTTAACTCCCCAACCATTCCAGTGTAGCATGTAACACATTAATGAGAGGTCTTTTACTTAGAGACTTACAATGGAACTGGTGCTTATATCTTATTCTGCAAAGATGGTGTGATATATATATGTATGCATGTGTGCATGTAAGTATTACAGTTCTTTCTTGCATGAATGCTTTTGATTAGTAAGTGGCTGAAGGAATCACATGGTTGGTTGATACTTAGGAAAGCAGTACTAGGCTATATCGATGGCCCATGGCTTATAGGTTCCAGGTTTGTCTTTTGGAATCTGAAATAAAATATAAAGAAAACAACATAATTTTGATAAGGGGAAAAAAGAACTTACTGTAATTCACAAATGCATGTTCCTTATCAGCCATGTAAATGTCATTGCATGCACAAAACTCCATTTTCCCGTGTTATAAAAAGTTGTAAAATCAACCAACTTACTTCTAGTTAACAGTGCCATTCTGGTAATTGAACAGGTAATTAAGCTCATGTCTCCATAGCAGAGGTGAGCTCACAGCCTGAAAGGCTCAGATTAGAGGAACTGACATACGAGGTTCCATTATGCAATATGGTTTAATGATACTGCTTGAATCATGGAGGCCGTGATGTTTGCAAAGAAATCCTACATTTCTGAGGGCATTCCTGGAGACAGAACATCACCTCCTGATGACTGGATAACAACTTCCCCATTATTTAAATTCTGAGTTTTTCCCAAGTGTTTGCACAGCACTTAGCCCACAAAGGTTCTTAATCCTGGTTATAACTTCTATGAATATGAGTTCTATCACTGTGAAACACTTTGCTGGATATCCTGCACAGGAGGAAGCAGAAGTGGATGGATGTGGAATTCACAGCCCCAGCCTCCAGGGAGGTTGAGGTCAGGGAGTCTCTAGCTGGCTGCCACTGGAAGAGTGGGGCCTGCAGGTCTGCCTGACCCAAACCGTGTCTCTCTTCATAGAGAAATTTTCAGTCTAGGGTACAATAGAGTTGTTCAAATTCAGCTACGTGAGGCTTTTTAAGTTTAAAGTTTTAATTAATGGACCTTGTCACAGTTTGATCGGATGTTTCCTATTTTCCAGGCTCCTGAAGTGTTTGTTTAGTTTGCTTTCTGACTGGATATGCACTGAGGGGAGAATGACTGGTAAACCCGTGCTGTTTATCTATTTCATAATTGCTCCTGTGCTTTACTACTTTGATTTTTTATTCCCCTTTTTTCTCTCTCTCTTCAACTTATAAATAAACAGAAATTTGGGTAAGTGACAATGTATTAAGCAATTTCAGATATCTGCTTTTACAGTGCCAAAAGAATGAGTGCACTGGAAAACCTGTGAAGTGGCTAAAGCTTTCATCAGAAAACAATGTCATATTTCTCATCTTGCCCACCTTTCTGAAGAAACTCTTGTGTGATCACTGTTGGCTAGGGCAGATATGGGGAGGGAAGTCGGCTCCTGCCTCAGAGTCCTACAAAAATAAGTACTGTCCAGCAGTCTACTGCTCTGTCCTACTGCCAACCCCTTGTGAGGGAAGTGCAAGATACAGGAAGATCAGATTGAGACATTACTGTGGAAAGAAAGACACAGAGAACTGCAAGGGTGAGGGTGCATTTTCTTGCCATCCTCATTTTGAAGAAAGCAGAGGCAAAGCACACAGGTGGCTATCAAAATAACTTCAGTGACTGTGGGGGAAATTTCAATAAAAGGGCATAGTGCACCAGTTGTGCATTACCTGTTCCATCTGTGAGAGGGAAGATATTAGAAGATAATAGAATGTCAAAACCAGCCAGAGCTGGTACTGTATTGCACTTCAAGAGTGGGGAACTGTACCATTCTCAAACCTACGCATTATACCTACAAAGTAATTACAGTGTCTGAGATAGGCAGAAAATAGACATGTTGCATGTTTGTCAAAAAAAGAGAAGGTTGGGGTATCTAAAATCCATTGTCCTTCTTAGCCTGATCATTTCAGTGGCTGCTGAGTATCTCTCTTCATTCTAGAAAACAAAGACGATATAGCACGGCCTGAAGGTCAAGGTGGAGGGCTGTCATGAAGCCAGCCTTGGACATGGATTGTATTATGGGAAGGATCATTACTAGCCTCTGCTTTTTTTATAAAAATCAAGGGTGTGTTCACTCAAGCAGTTCTAGGAATACTTCTCATATCACGACACAGAAAATGAGCTTATATGAAGTAACGGGGACCCAGACAGTTTAGCCCATTACAGTGAATATCTTAAATTTGCACCCCTAGATTCTGTGGATGCCTCTGTTAGTGGTGATGCTCACATGTAAATCTAAATCTAAAATGTTTTATTTGGGAGTGTTCCTGTTCACCCAGCCTGTGTTTTCACTCCATGTTGTGACAAGACTTGGATGCACATCAGCCCATATTTCCATCTACCTTGTTTTCCAGGAAGAAAAAAAGGAAACTGGGTTACGTGGTTCAAAGTGGAATCAGTCTAGACCAGGAGCAAAGAACAAGTGATGGAGCATGTCTAGCACTCTGTGTTTAGACATAGTCATATTTTCTAATGCAAATAAAGTGACAGTAAGACAAAGTCAAACTATAATCTGAAAAGGACTTTCAAGGCTTTTAGTTTAAAGGAGATAAATAAATTGAAACATTACCACTGAGGAAACAGCACAGGTTCCTCAGTTCTGGATTGTCAGTTCATGTTACTCTGTCAACATGGCTGAACAAGGTGCCACTGATAAAATAAAGTGCAAAGCTCTGCTAAATGTCGAAGAAAAGAGATATGGCTCACTGATTCATCTAGGTGCACAGCCCATTCAGGTGAAGGAGAATTAAGGAGTTGGCCAGCTCAGGAAAGGAAGGAAAATAACCTTACCATCTCAGTAAAGACATCACCACAGGCCATGCGAATCCGCTCAACAGTCAAGGGGCTGTTCAGTGTGAAGTCCAGGGACAATCCTCTTTCTTTCCGTGTAGCAGCCACTGCATCTCGTATTGCAAAGAACACTGAGCTGCCCAAGAATAATCCAGCCTCGCCCATGCCCTGGTAGAGGAGAGAGGCAGCTGGAGAGACTGGCTTTAGGAACTGCCAGCAGAGAGTTAAATCAGCACATTTCTGCTGTATTTATCTGAAATATACTGAATCACAGCAGGTCAGTATTTGATCATGTCCAGCATATTTGGATTCAACAATTTTCCTTGGATCTCTGAGAACTTTTAAATCAGAAAACCATCAAGGATCAGAATTTGGCTGGTGGAAATAATTTTAAAATTCACAATAAAGCTACAGTATCAAAAAAACTTCCTGCTGGGACTTCAGTGCTGATGTTAAAAAGCTATGAAATAACTCTGGCCTTCTCACAAAGACTAGCTTTTCTATGTCCAAGTGTAATTAATTCTTCATGATGAAACAGAGGAAGAAAGACTGCCCGCCCCCACTGTCCTCTTAGCCCCTCTTGCATGGATAAAGTTTGTGCTGTCTAATTTTGACAAGAATTATGCCCTTAGTCTCTGTCTGTTTTCTTCATGGGGAAGAGTTTTTTTACTCATTTATGCCATGTAAGGCCATAAGAATATGAAGCAGATTTACTTCTGGAAATTTCAATTCCTTTGTGTACTGGTTTTGGCTGGGGTAGAGTTAACTTTCCTCACAGTAGCCAGTATGAGGTTGTGTTTTGGATTTGTGCTGAAAACAAGTGCTGATACACGGGGATGTTTAGTTACTGCTGAGCAGAGCTTACACTGAGTCAAGGTCTTTGCTGCCTCTTACCCCACCCCACAGGCAAGGAGGCTGAGGGGCACAAGAAACTGGGAGGGGACACAGCCAGGATAGCTGTCTCAAACTGACCAAAGTCATGGAATATGGTATGGAATATACCATATGGCCTCATGTTCAGCGTACATGAGGGAAGAAGAAGGGGGGGAGACATTCAAAGTTCTAGTGTTTGTCTTCCCAAGCCACCATTACAGGTGATGAAGCCCAGCTTTCCTGGCGATTAATGTCTTCCTGCTGATGGAAACAGTGAATGAATTCCATTCCTTATCTCACTTTGCTTGTGTGTGCAGCTTTTGCTTTATCTTTTAAACTATCTTTATCTCAAGCTGTGAGTTTTCTCACTTTTACCCTTCTGATTCTCTCCCCCATCCCATGGGGGGCAAGTGAGTGAACAGCTAGCTCTGTGGGGCTTAGCTCCCTGCTGGGGTTAAATCATGGCACTTTCTTATACCTGCTCTAGATTCATGGCTGGACTTGTGGCCATTCCTGTCTTTTAGTATCCCGAGGTCTACACCTACCTTTAGTTCTCCTTTTATTCTGAGGTGCCTTTTTTTTTGCTTTTATTTTGAGTCTATGAACAGTGCTCAGTCCTGGTACTGTGTGCCTCCTGAGAGGTTGAGGTACCCTTAGGACAGAAAGAATGGTGCTCTGCCATGGCTGATAGAAAAACTGGGCTCTGTTCCCATACCTATCACAGATTTCCTGTGAGATTCTAGAAAGTTACTTAATCTCTTGTCTCATCACTTCTCTGCCTTTAAAAATTATAACAATATTTCCTTTTTTCCGTCCGTACTCCTCTTTAGGCAATTAAAGCTCTTCAGGATGGACTTTTTCACTTTTGATTTCTAGCACAACAGTTTTGTGTTCTTTTACATTAAAGTTTCAATTTTGATTAGGGTTTCTAAGTGCTACTGTAATACTAATAAATCATAGGAAGAAAATTAGTCCAAAAATTGAGAACACCAGTGTTTACCATTTAAGTCCAATTTGCTCCATAGCTGAAACTGCCCCCCCAAAAAAAAAAAATAAATGCAAAGCATACCATACACTACAGTCATGGCTTTGCAGCAGAATCTCCTGCTGTGCTTGCAAACAGTAAATTTGGCATGTTTACCTTGGAAGAATAGATGGCAATTGAGTTGCGTGAATTGGGCAGTAAATAGACACAGAACTGCTCAGGAACGTCACAGACAGCAGGGATCTTATATGTATCTGGGCCAAGAGTGAGCTGCTCTCCTTTTGGAGAAAAGTAGATGTCTTCTAATGTATAAAGACCAACCCCCTGAATAAAGGCCCCTTCAATCTGAAGAAAGAAAAAAAGGTAAACTTTTACATTTCATTCAATTATTTTAAAAGATAAAACCAGATATACAATCAGACTTAATTAGTAAGATTACACATGAACTGGCTTTCTTTCTATTAGTCAACAAAGACCCAAACAGGACAAGGCTGTCCTCATCTGACTTTGACAAATATTTTCATTGGCTCAAGTTCTATTCTTCCTTATTCCTGTCTAATCTCACTGTAACTAGTACAGTTGCCTTTGATTTGCTTTTGCAAAATTGCCAAATAGAATTGAGTCAAATCCACAGCAACGCCAGTGAGGAGATATTTGTCTAGGGACTATGACATATATAGTCTGCTCAATCTAATATTTGCTTTAAAAGATTTGCAGATAGCCAATAAAATTTCTTTGAGATAAATATATCAGACATAAACAGGTGATAGTTTGGATATGAAGAGAAAATAACAGACCAAAATCATGTTCCTTCCATCATGTAGGAAGGAACAACTGCTGAGTAGACACTTGGACTGTGTCAGTAGTTGATGTAAACATTGGTGCAAGGTGAACATAGAATTAAAATGCTAAAAAAGAACTTAATATGACATATTTGGCAGTCCATGAATGTGCAAAATGAACATAAGATTTTAGGTGAAGGGCAAATATATGAGGATGAGTGTGGAATAGGATAAATCGCAGGATAAGAAAGGCTTTAAATGTAGGTCATTTTTAGGAGCATTTCCTCTGACTCTGCAAAGAAACAACAAATATTGTTTACAGTCTGAGTTCACCACGACTTTCTCATTTACAAACTACTAGTGAGTGACACCACTTTTGTCACTATTCAGTGTTTTTGTAGATACATGTACTTGAATCCATAATGCACAGCAATGGATACAACAGACCTTTAAAGAAAGATCTGATCCATCTCAACAGCCTTTTCCATTACATCACAGCTGAAGTCAACACTGCTCTGCAGCTGGTTAAGATTTAGCCCTCAGTCAGTAATTCTGAGGTGGAGTAAATTGTTCAGGAAGAAAGTCATAAGGAGATTCAGGGTGCTAATCCTGTAGGACATTTCCCGAGTCTGTTGGACCTGTTTTTCTCATCACTTCTCAAAGGATGAATAAGAAGTAAAAAAGGTAACTTATTATTATTTATAGCTACAAATAAAAACAAATCCATCTGTCAATCTAACATCCTTGAATGTTAATGGGCAGGGTCTCATAGGCTTTGGTAGTTATTAAATTGACCAATAACAACAATCATGTAGGCACAAATAGAAATTTCAGTAACATTTGATATAAAGCAAAACTATGGAAATTCATACCTGTCCTATATCTATAGCTGGATTTATGCTGAAACAGGCATCCATGACAATGTCTGTTCTGATATTCTGTTAAATAAATAAAAGGTGTTACACAGTTATAGTTAAAATACACAACAAAGGGATCCTAAATAATCTACAGTCTCATCCATGAAAGCTGTGTTATCAGAAATATTACAAATTTATTCTGAAACATGAAAGCTACTTGAGACAGGCTGTATAGATGGAGATTTCATTTAGATAAACCATTTTTGGTGGTTGTCTGACACTTGGAATGTGATGCACACATCACACATCCTGTAAGTAACAGGATGATCATGAACTCAAGAATGGCTTTGTTGCTTGTTTTCCTACAGAAATTGCATTGCTTGAAGTGATGTCCAGTCATCTCCTGTGCTTTGCTGTGAGTGTGGAAGCACAGTCACTTGAACAGAAGTTCCTTATGTAGAGGAAGGGGACAGGGAAAAACATCTCATGGACTGTTATTATACAATGTCCAGTGGCTTCTCTTAAATCCCAGTATGGTGTACAGTTTGAGGAGGTTCACAGACTCCAGTGATTTTTGAGTCTAGCTCCACATGGGCTACTGGATATCTGGCAGCTTCTGCAGCCAAATATGCTTCTGCAGTAACCAGAAGACATTGAATTGGTCTCTATATAGCACTGCTGAGAGCTCTCCCTGCACTAACTCCCCTTTGCAACAGGTCATGTTATGTGACTGTGGCTTCGCCTGTTTTAAATGTAACTGTTAAAAAGGAGGCTGTAACTAATGATATGGTCTAACCTGCAGGGAGATATTCAGAAGGTCTAATTGAATTTAAAAGTCATCACATATGGTACAAACATTAGACCTTCCTTATTTTCCGCTGTTATCATAGTGTTTCTTATTTTTCTGGTTAACATCAGGCTTCTATTGCAAGAAAAGGATGACCAAATGATATTGTAAAGGGCACTATAGCCATTTATTGTTCTGCTGGCTATGCCTCTATTCTTATTTAAAAAAAGGCAAGAGAAAAAAATGTCATAGGAATGTAATGACAGTGGAAAGTTCACCCAACTCTACTTCAAGTTCACTGTGTTTTTTGACATTACCTTGTGGGCTCCTGTCAAACAGTCAATTTCTACTTCAGAACATGCAACTCCAAAGAGAAAATACGGGAACGCGTGGCCTTTCTGTGTGTCCCAGTTCATGTTTGTATGATAACCTCTGGAGGAAGTAAGAACATTATATGAATTTGATCAAGATACCTCCCACTCCCTATCCTTGTCCTCACTGTTGAGATCACTAAAAGAATCATATATCATGATATATGAGTTAATAGCTTTACACTGAAGGAGAGTAGGTTTAGGCTAAATATTAGGAAGAAATTCTCTGCTGTGAGGGTGGTGAGGCACTGGAGCAGCTTGCCCAGAGGAGCTGTGGACTCTGCATCCCTGGAAGTGATCAAAGCCAAGTTGGATGGAGCTCAGAGCAACCTGGACTAGTGGAAAGTGTCCCTGCCCATGGCAGGGGGTTGGAACTAGATGATCTTTAAGGTTCCTTCCAACCTAAACCATTCTGTGGTTCTCTGGTAACATAAACTCTTTAAGATAACTGTTTTCATAGGATCCCTGTAGTCAAAGATAATCTGGAGTGTAGCACCACTGATACATTGTGTGGAATAATTTGGGCACATAGGAGGGTTGCAAATCATGATGGCCATGGAACATAATTCCTTGTGGGCTTCCTGTGTCTTACTGTAATTGACCTTGGAGAAGACTTTGAGCATTGTCAAACTAGCTAACCAAGGATATAAAGTGCTTCCAAAATCTATATGGGTTGAAGAGAAGAACTCCTTGTTAAACGCTGCAGTCTCTGGTCAAGGCAACTTGTTAATGGTTTGTGTGCTGCATATGATATGGCCTTAAGAAAGGTGAATGGGGCCAGTTTTATCCTTCCTACAACCTACTGACAAAGTAGCACCTCCAATGATGAGAAATTAAAAAAGATTAATGTCTTTCCTTACTTGAAATAGCCAGTAGCTGAAAGATTGATGCTTTGCTTGTGAGCTTCACTGATCTGCAAAAAGTATACTCAATATTAAAGAGAGAAAATTAAAAATTCTTTTCCTCACATTTAAAGAAAAAGTGAAACTTGAAAAAAATTAAAGAAAAAAAGAGCCCTGAGTAAAAGCTTTATATTCCCTTGTGCCCTGGACATGTCTTTAGGAAGCAGGGGGCATTGCAAAACCACTAAAGTTGGCCAAATTCACCAGAACATTGTGTTGTACCACTTGCTTTTACATCATTTTACACCTATTTACTCTTTCTCACTTCCAGTTTAGTTTATGCAGGGAGACACTTTTCTCCCTCCAGAACAATGTCAGCTTTCACTCTACACTTAAGGGTTTATCATAATTTAACACTACAAAACAGAGAGAGATATTTACCCAGTCTTCCCATTTGCCATCAGGATTGTCTCTTTGAATAGGCTCCAGGCGCTTCCAAAGGATTTGACAGGCATTCTAGGGAGAAAGAAGGTTGGATACCAGTGACTAACCCACAACCCCAAATCTGTCTGCTGATTTCAAAGCAATACAGGCTCTTTCTTGGTGAAATTAGTTTGTTAAATTCATTCTGAAGGCTGTAATTCTGTTTATTTATGTACAATTTCTTTACTCTGCTATCTGCCAGCTAGAAGGCAGCACTTTGTGAAGACTGGCATTAGCAACTGCTGTAATGTAACTGAAGTATTCATGTATCAGGCTATTGCTGAAACCATCAACAAAAGGAAGATAAAGGACTTGACTCTCTTCCTATTTTGATACACTAGATGGGAAAACCAGTGGCTGGAACAATTCATTTTACAAATAAATGAAAGTGGAATTGGTCCCAAATGGAATTGGTCCCAAAGCATTTAAAAGGTTAAGGGTCTGACTATTAAAAACAGTACCTGAAATATAACTTATGCTAAATTTTCCTTTAAATTGTGTTTAAATACAAAATAAAGTGAAGATCCATAAATTCATCTAGCAGCAATCTAAAAAAGAACAGCACCCACATTTGTAAATCTGATACAGTAGAGCAGAGAAAAGTGACCCTTTTTAACAGTGTTTTGTAATTTACCTTGCTGTAAACTATGCGTATAAAGTAAACTAGCAAGTGGAATTTCGAAATAAAGAACTGCAGGGTGCCCAAAACCAAACCAAAAAAATAAATTTGAATCCCCAGAGGAACATTTAGTATTCAACAGAATCACTAATTATATGAAAAAATGGTAACAAGTCTAACCTGCACTGCTCTTGCATTGATTTCAGTTCCAACTGATCCTGCTGTGTATTTGCCATTAGGTACAGTTGTTGTGCTTGTTTCACAGAAGTGGATATATGACAGTGGTATCTTCAGTTCACGACTGGCAATCTGTAATAAGGGTAAACAAAAAGCCACCCAGTCTCAATCGAGATGCAGTCAAGAATTCATCGTGCCGTTCATCTCCCTATATATTTGCACATACAGAAAAATTACCTAATTCAGGGTCAAATGCTTGTTTTCCTTAACAATTATTCTGTAAAGCAAATATTTTATATATAAGTTCTATATAAATAATAGAAGATAAAACAATACAATGCAATACTGTATGTTTTGCCTCTAATTGCTCTCTCTAATAAGGTTTTTGTTAGAAATGGAAAACTTAATCAAATTTAAAAAACAATGAATCATTCTCCCTTATCTGTATATCTTATTTTCTACCTCATTTGAAATGGCTTTGTTTGTGTTCCCACCTTATTGTTTTTACCGTGTTCTAATATTCCGATGTTCATGCAGCCCATTTTGAAGAAGTGGCTTTATTTTAGCTCCAAAATGACATAGTTTTGTTTAGCACTATTTACACCCGAAATGCATAAAAATTAAGTGATGTTATCATTGATGTTGGATACACAACAAAGTCACATTTTCAGCATGTTTAACTCTCTCTGCTACAAAACATTGGGGTCATTTTTGCATGTGCCTTCTGTGCCCTAGCTATCCTGATAACAGTGATGTTACCACAAAGATGTTTTTTTCCTTTCTAGATCTTCAAAGGTCACTTTGATTATTGCTTGTGTTTTTTTTCTGAAGCTTTGTCTTCATCAATAACTCAAAAGCAACAACTCAATATTAAACTCATCTTTCTTATGTCTATAGATTTTACTTATTATAGTTCTTACTGCCATTCATCCTTTTTGCTCAGTTATCCTCCTTACATTTTGTTTACCCTCAGGTACTAACTAACTCACCTGTAACATCTTAGTGTGAATTCCTTGTCCCAGTTCAATTCCACCATGAGTGATTAGCACAGACCCATCTATATAGATGTGGACAAGAGCTCCAGCCTAAAGAAGAGCCACAGAAACTTAGTGATTTTCTTACTTCACTGAACAAAGGTGTATAAAAAAAACTAACAAGGCAAAGACAAATTTAATTTACAAGATCAGTATATTATTCACCTGGAATGGGAATTCTCCAGCAGTCTGACAATAACAAATTTCACTGTTCTAAGACATGACAGACTTTAAATGAGCTAGTAGTTATTCAAAGGAGTTCTGCAGGGATCACAGTAATTAGTTCAAATAACGGAAAACCACATTTTTCTTGTGAAACTGGGTAAAGCAAGAACATGCTGGCTCTAGTTATAATGTGTATGTGTCCCCAGCTATTATTCCCTCTTCATCTGGGATGAAAAAGGAGGACAGAGCAGAATTTGAACCTGAAATCAAAGGCATTTTCAACAGAGGGTAAGGTATCTCCTACTGTGAACAGCTATAGAACTTTTCTTTTAGAACAAACAGTAGTTGACTTGTACTTTTGTCTTTTTGAAACAGAGGGATTTGCATGTGTCCAAAGGGGGATGATAATAAACTGATGTTCCTAGTATCTAATTTTGATGGAGCAAAAAGCTCTTCCCTTCTCTTTGCTAGGCTGTCAAGAGAAAGGCTTAGAACTCGACTCACTCCTTGTATTTTGGTGCAGCCTTCTCCCAATAAGTAGCTATCTTAAACAGGAGAAATGCAAGATGCAGGTTGGAATGGAAATAATGAACTTTAATTAATGGTAAAATTGGGAATAAATAACTTTCCAAGGAATGGTGATGAAAGAAATTGATCCCATAGAATCCCATAGAATCGATCCCATCCACTCCTATAAAGGAATAAGTGGACATGAAAGAGAACTAGAAATTCTGTAGAGATGCTTCAGTGTGGCATTTAACGAGCTACCAACACTCAGAGCAAACGGTAGAGCCTGAGAGGTGTTGTGAAATACAGTGCCTTGGGGACACCTTTTTATTTGTTACCAATCCTACATTGACAAATAATGGTCATGTGATCTCTGTGGTGTCAGCTTGTGGTGTTTGCAAACATGTGACATTTTGCTGCTGTCAGAGTCTTAGCTGACAGGGGCAAGATTAAACAATAAATCTCTAAGATTTAAATCCAGATATTTGGAAATTCAGTGCAATGCCTGAGCTTTATTTTGAAGGTTTTGGGGGAATATAACTATTATTTATGCTTTTTTTAACCTTTTGTATCAGATGAATTATGTTCCCTAGATTCAATGTTTCTTTACCATGAGAACATTGTTGGATAAAATACACTGATCTCTCCCTGAGCTTTTCATCTACAAACTTGTGCAGAAACAATCAAGGGATGGAATAAACTACTAATTTATAGGCTATGTGGATTTCCTTTTTTATGCACTCATAAATAAAGAACAATGTTTGTTCATTTAGTCTGAGACTCATTTGAGAGAATTTTTTATTCAAGACCTGCATTAAAAAGAAAAAAATAGTCAGAACTGAAAAGTTTCCCCAGAAATACCACTATCTTGACCCATAAAAATTTCCAGTAGCAGAACTGGAATAAAATAAAATAAATGGTACTATCAGGACTATAGGAGTGATAATTTTTCTTACTATGGACTAGGTTATGGAAGATTCCAAGTACCACATTTTTATAGTGAGTTACTTAACTTTATGCTGGATAAAGATGTCACATTGGGAATCAGAAATTCACATTTCTGTGAGGTGAATATTCATAGAATCATGGAATTGCTTGGGTTAGAAGGGACCTTCAACCCAAGGGAAGATCATCTAGTTCAGCCAAGGGAAGATCATCTAGTTCAGCCAAGGGAAGATCATTTAGCCCAACCCCCTCTAACATGGTCAGGGACATACTTCACTAGAGCAGGTCTCTCAAAGCCCCATCTCATTTATAAAGCATTTGTAAAGACATTGGCCAGATAGAGCGATACTTTTCCTGAAAGTATATCTCAAGGGAATAATATTTTATGCTAGTCCAGCATACTGGAATTCTTTTCCCTTTCTCTTTCCTTTCTGCCTGTAGAGATTATACTTCCTCTATTTTTGGAGAGAAAAGTAGAGATCTTAGATCACAAAAGCACTGTGTTGAAAGGGTTACCTGATGAAAATAAGTTGCATTAAATCCAACAGAAAACTTCATTGGAATGATGGCAATCCCTTTCTTTTTCCAATAATTTTTAGTGTTAAATTCTTCCACCATTGCTTTTCGACTGTAGTAGTCAGATTTGTCCAAACATTCTTCCCAACACTTCCACAGATTCTCTGCATCAAACTTTTCTTTGAAGGATGTTAGGTTAACTCCTTTGTACATGTTTGTTTCCCTAACCTAAACACCAAGCAAATTCAGTGCTGAAAGTAAACGTTGCTTTATAATACATTGGCATATTATATACAATATAATGACATGGCATATAATGATGCAATAATATAATTAATACTTATCTATATTAAACATAATGTCCTATCCATCACTGCTCAAATGGCCTGATTTTTTTGCTCACATCAAATGCCTGTGAACTTAAGTTGTGTCAGTGGGATTATTTACAAGGACTACTCAATGCAAAGAAGGTTGGTAAACTCAAATTTTAAATAAGATCAGTGAAAGCAGAAGCTAAAAAACCTGTTTGTCCCTTGGAGATGTGTCTGAAAGCTTTCCTGAAATGTGGTAAAGGAAAGCAAGTAAATGGGAGAGGGAGAAGATTCAAAGAAATAGCGAAAAGACATGATGGTTGTCATCCTAGGAAAGTAAAATGATTTATAAACCATAGTTTGAAAATACAAGAGGTTGGCACATATAAAAGAGAAAAAGCTCACACTGGGTTAAGCAGCATGTAAGGAAAGGATAGCTCTTGAAGACTGGAGAGGAAATGGCAACAATAAAAACTGTTGAGACACTCTCTCTGAAGGCTGGGGAGACAGGGATGACAGAGCCACCTAGTTAAACTGCTGATAGATAGATAGATAGATAGATAGATAGATAGATAGATAGATAGATAGATAGATAGATAGATAGATAGATAGATAGAAAAGTTGGTAATTCGAGTTCTAAGAGGTTGAGACAAGGGGACAGCTGAACATACACCAGGTGATCTAAAACTGGTCACACAGTACAAGAGATAATACTATTTTGACTGAAGCTGGTAATACTAACAGCAGTCACCAAATATTTTGGAGCAGATCCTGGGCCAGTTTTCTCCACTCTTATCTGTATTATATCAAGTATTATTCCATGGAAGCATAGGAGCTGAATGAAGTACCATTCAGTCCAACTAAAGTTGTACATCTCTTTCTACAAAAAGTGGCTTAAGCACAAGGAGCTTAAGTCTAAGTCTTCGAATTGTCTGTTAACTCATGTTTTATTTGGCAGTCTCAGCTCTTTTACCTTCTCATGTGGTAGGCCAGTTTGGGTCACCACAGCCACAATACAGGTCTCCATAAGCAGACCTGCTTGGGGAAACCCAAATCCTCGGAAGGCAGTATTAGAAGGCAGGTGAGTCTTGCAGGCATGTCCCCTGACTCGGAGGTTGGGGATATTGTATGCATTGTCCACTTTCAACACAACGTACTCAATCACCTGAAATAAGAGATGACAGTTATTCAGATGGTTCCATTTCCTTTATAGAGACAGTAAAACTTGTGAAAGACACTCAAGAGACCAGTAATATGTAATTGTTTTAACTTTACTCAGGAGGCTTGTTGTTCTGCTCATTTTTACACCAATGGAAGTAAAGAAACCATGTCTACATCAGAGAAACTGCGTTTAACTCATAGGAATTTCAAGAGCATAAAGAAGCATTACTAAGGGAAAAATCAGACCTTCAGTTTTGGGGAATTGAAGGAATGAGTTTATGACAGTAGGCTAGCTAATAAAACTTAGTGTCTCTTTGCTTCACAGAACTTTTAATTCTGAATTTTCTATGTCCAGAATGACCTGACAGGAAATATTGTATCTCCTTAAAGATACTCTGTAATTGACATCTGGGCCACAGATGCATTTTTGCTTTAGGTAGATGAGAGTTTTACTTAACAAGAACAGGAATATTCTTAGGAGAAATAAACTGTAACAAAGGGCTGTTATTTTCATTTTGTGACCAGTTCAGTCAGTGTAATTGGTATCAGCAAAGAAGGTCTTACCAACTCAGATTCATCTTTTGTACAGCCACCATTTATATAGCACTGAAAATCTGCAGCTATTATTCTACCATCATTCATGAATCCAACCTGTAATATAGAAACTGATGCATTAGTGGTCTTTTCTCTCATGTATTTCAAACTTCCCTTTATAAATAAGCTAACCAGTTAAGAAATATCACACCTGAGGTTCACACTACAGAACTCAATGGGACTGTTTCCACCGAATTGGAAAAATTACCTGCATAGATTTCTGTCTATAGGATGGTATTGGTTTGGATCTGAATATACAAACCAAAGAGCAAAACACATACAAACCCCACAAATCATCAGAGTACCTCAGCTGCCCACAAAGCTGTTCTCCCACATAGACATTGACTATACCCACACAGAATCTGAAAAGCTTGTTCACTGCTGTGTTGAGTATGAACAGAGACCAGAAATAGGATGACAAAAACATTAAAGAAAATATTCACTATGATTATACTAATTCTACTTTCTGAAGGCTTTATTTTGTAATAATGCTTTCACTATCTAGGCAATATAGCAATATGAACCAGTGATGCATATATTTTGCAGATTACACGTTCAGAAATATCCACTAAATTTGATTTGATTCTGGTTCTGGTTCCTTCCTCTTCAACTCTTTTTTTTAAAGGTAATAACTGGTTTTATATTTTAATGCATTATATAATAATACTTAAAGGGGTACAATCACAGAAAACTGCAAAGTAAGCAGAGACCAACTTGTTAAGTTATATAAACTGATGCAGCTCTACCACAATTAAGGATAAGAAAACTATAGATAATGAACATTATTGCTGGCTAAATCCTGCATAGCTGCACAGATGGGATAAGAGATGGGACTGATGGGGAGAGTGTTTTTTCCTTAATGTAGTTAAGCAATTAATACAGGTTTTTCTGTTATTGTATTTAATTAAAGGAAAGGTTAGCGTTGGGGTCAGATTTAGGATTTGAGAGATCAAGAACAACATTCCTTCTCCTTAAAAATTGTAGCTGTTATCCAAATTTTAGGGAAAAAAAGGGAAGTTGTAAGTACATCAAAACAGAATATGAATCATCCATCTATGGGGGCTTATTGAAAAGTTCTGCCCCAGCAACATATTTTATCCTAAATTTAAAATGATAACAGGTAATGGGAACCCAGAAGAATATGAAATACATGTGCTATTGACATCTGTCAGTCACAATCCTTGTCTTATGGTTAAAACAAAATTTAACCAAAAATGAAACCTTCCTCCTTTCTTCTCCCAAACCAGTTCTAAACCTAGTCTAATCATAACCAGAATTGAACAGTATCTTTGGGAGCAATATCTTCAGCAAAATTAAAAATATAAGCAGTCTCTCCCAGGAACAGTCATCAGCCAAACTCTGCCACTCATGCAAGAGTCCCTAGGAAAGCCAACTCCTCAGCCCCTCTTTATCCAAGCCATATTGAACAATAAACCCTGTCCCAGAGGGTTTTAGTGTGTTTAATTCATACACCAACACCAAAGAGAAGGGTTTTGATTCTGCCACAACCAGTTGCCAAGCTGATTTCAGTGCTGGCATTGTTTACCTATACAATGCAAGGATTTAGAAGTCAAAAGTAAGAGTTTTGCTAAAAGTTGAATCTTGCATTACCTTTCAGGGCTGGCTTTGTATTGGAGGAGTGGCTCATATTCAATTCTGATTTACAAATTTGTCATCTGTGGATGGGGTAGGTCTGATGTTAGCAGTATTCTAAAGTAAAATAAGGGATGGATGGTTCTGCTTTTTCTGGATATTGCATGGCCTGTAGGAGTAGGACGATGGCTGTTTTTTTGATTCATGGCATCTGTCAGGGGACTTTTAGGACTGGGGAAGGTTGGTGCTGGATTAGGATTTCAGAAGAGGAGGAGTTTGGTTTCTTGCTGTGTCTTGTTAGCCAATGAAATTATGCTGATTTGTCTCAGAAGAAACTATTACCCAGTAACTGAGCAAAATATCTTCTTTCACTCACTTTATATTTTCCAAAGAAAGGGTGCCGTCCACCAGTGATTAACATATCCATATTTCTTTCCAGGACAAAACGGACTGGATGCCCAGTCCTAAAATGAACATTAAAAAAATCCACTTTTATTACAGCCTATTGATGCAGATTGCAAATGACATTACATGTACATGGCCAGACTCCTAGTGGTGGGTGGCAATAAATCAGTCCATTCAATATTTTAGTTTCTTATTAACCTACTATGCCTGAGTTTAGGCTGATTCAGCGTTTTTGGGGGTTTTTTTTTGGCAACAGAAACAAAGTAGAGGAAATGAGCTTTTCTGTGGTTTTCCCTTCAGCTTCTCAACAGGGGGATGCAAGTTCCATTGAGCATGCACAGGACATGGAAAGGCAAGGAACTCAAAAGACAGCTGATGTGACCATACCTGTGTATTAGGATAAAATACACTTGCACTGAATATCTAGAGTGAAATTCATACCACCATGTCTCACAGAGGCCCAAATGGTTGGGATTTGCACAGATCATCCCAGAGGGAAACTGCCTCCATGCCTTTGTTTTAGCTTTCGGATAGTAAGTGAATACCATTGTCAAAAGCCCAGAGAATTTTCAAGCTGCTAAAGATTTACTTTACTTTCAAGATTTACTGCTAAAGAGATAAAAAATACGATGTCATCAGGATAACCCTCCAAGTAGGGTTCAGGACTGAAGTTTCTTTTTAATTCAGTCTTGTCATTTTTAATTTATTTTAGTTAAATCACTCCTTTGATTTAGTGAAATCAACTTACTTGTTGGCTGCCACAGCTGCAATTACAGCAAAGAGGGAAGGTTTAGTAACCTTCCCACCAAATGCTCCACCAACACGTTTCACATGGCACATAACTTTACTGGACTGGAGGTTTAAAGCCGAAGCCACTAATTCCTGCAAAAGTGAGCATCCAGAATTTTACCTGCCAAAGTACATTTAAAAATGCCTATTTTCAATGAGTAATCATGTATTAAAAGCTATCAGGTTTAAGACTCCTGGGCAGAAAAATAGAGTTGCTATAGGTACAAATAAACAAAAAAATTCAAACAAGTAAACATGCTAATGAAAGCACAGTGTAGTCTTTAAAGAACAGTAGAAATGCAAAAAACAGCTCTGAAAACTAGTTTAATTATCTGATGCCAGATATGATAATCCCTATATAGAACTTCACATTCACCTGCAGCTGGAGATAAAGCATCTACTAGAATAGCAAGCTAAATGGAACAGAGTGATTGTTTAGTGCACACTAGAAAATGTAACTAAAATCCTGACATTGCATTTTGAAAATACCTCCTCTGACAGTGTTTTGAAAGATGTAAGTAGAGATTTAATTTGTGGGGCTGACAGGGAAAGCTTGAAAAATGCAAGCCAGTGATGAACTGCAAAAGCTAATACTAAGCATGTAGAAATTAACATTACAATTTTTTAAACTGTTGTTTTCTACAGGCCTACAATCCAACTCTGATCTCAACTAGAACCTGTTAACTTTTTTCACATAATTTCACATAATTCATATGTCATTATTGTTTCCATATTAATTTATCATTATTTACATGTGATTATGACCCCCATCATCATCAGTGTAACTACTCATATGAGCAATGCAACTTGTTTGAAATACACTTTCTGATGAAGACACTCATTGCTGCAAAAAAAGTGATTGTCCAGGATTGTACTGGTTCTCACTGATTTTAGGAGGATTTGGCCAATATATCTAAGACAGAATTAGTCTTTTCTTAATATGATTGCAGTCATATTATCCATCCAAGATACCCTTTGTTCATCCCATAGTAATACTGCTCATTTGTGTCTGTACTGCCTTGTATAATACAAATAGCACAATACTGTTCCATTCAGCTTTATGATTAGTAGTCAGGCCACTTACTTTCATAAAAAGATTCAGATCAATTAATCTGAATTGGGAACATCATTGAGGAGTTTCAAGAGAAGCAGAGAAGACTGAAAGCAACTCCTGTCATGTAATTCAGCTTTAAGGTTATTTAGGAAGGTAAGAAACAAGTCTCATTAATACTTTGTTTTACCTGTACATCTGTTGCATGCTGAGTTGACACATACACATCCATTTCTTTATCCTCCACTCTTGGAATAACAAGTACACTGTTTGTTTCCATGTAAAAATGTTCCTGTCCTCCCATGTGCAATTCACCTGTTACATATATAATTATTGGAAAATAAACTGAGCCTCAAATGAACTGCAAGGAAATTTATATTTGACTATGTATATGTATACAAGGCAGAGAAAAAGAGTTTTGCCACAGAAGAAAAATAGATTCATTTATTTTTTTATTTTTTGTATCTCAGGTTTGCACCTCTTTTATTTATAGACTTTTGTTTATTAAGAGAAAATTATTCAGTCAGTATCAACTCAATATGTCATGCTTTTTCATTTTCAGGTAGTTACATCTCTTCTACTATAACAGGATTATAATGTCTTCTTGTGAATCACTCTATGAGGGAAAATATAGCTTTCCTCTTCCTTTTTTATTCTCTTTCCACTTTTTCTACCCATTTCTATCCAACATTCACCTTTGTACCATTTTCTTTAAAGAGAGGGAAATCTGTCAGCACACCATAGAAGCTAATTCTGCAAATTCTCTGTGTAACCTTAACTTTATGCCATCCTTGAGTGTGACATTATTTCCCTAGCGGTTATTCCTGAGACACGTTTCCTAAAACACATGTTCATGCAGAAGTAGTAGGAATCAGAACTGAAGCCACTAAGGGGTGACATGACATTTATTTGGGAACAGCTGGAAAAAGTCAAAAGCAGAGCAGAAAAAAGATCATCACAGGCCATGAACCTACATGGAGAAGACTGTAAGAATTGAGTGGGCCCAGCCCAAAGAGGTGAAGAAAGAATGAACCTTCAAATGGAAGGTGGCTGCAAAGAGGAACAGTCTGTGCTACATGCTCACAGTAGAGAGAACAAGAAGCACAGTAGTACTTAAATTACAACAAATTGCTTTGATGATAGGAAGGGTGAAGCACTGGAACAAATTACCTGGAGAGACTGCAGAGTCATAATGATTGGAGGTCTCCAAGAACAACTTAGATAAATCAGTTCATGGTACAGATAGAACTGAGGTTGGAAAAAGGAAAAGGAGCTGATTGTCTGCTATGTTCCCTTCTGTGATCAAGCAGGCTGTAATTCATATGCACTTAGTATTCAGTGAAGAGAAAAACTTGGTTGCAGAAATTTAGGGAATGATAACAGCTGAAGGTAGGTATGATAATATACCTCATGAGAGGACAATCAGAAAAGCACGTGAGCAGGACACAAGTTGTCTAAGCATATACAAAGTGGTCACTAATAAATTTCAGAGCTGCATTCAGAGGTTAGAAACACAGATTTAGGGGAAGTGTTAAAACTGGCCAAGCCAGTGTTCAGAGAAGGATATCTTGGTATCATACACCTTAATTTTATTGTCTTTTTACACTGATTACTCTTATAAGCAAATTGAGAAGCACAATCCACATTAAATCAGGGATACTACTGGTTGAAAACTGAACTCAGAAAGGTCTGGCTGTCAGTCTGCAAAGCTCATGCATGTAGAATCATAGAAGAGTCTTTTCTGGGTCTAATGCTACCTCATGGTTGCTGTAATAATTAATGATTAAACTATAAGTAGTATCAAACTGGAAAGGGTTGCAAGCCCTTTAAAGGACAGGTTTGTATTTCAAAGTGATTGTTCTACATTGGAGGAAGAGCCTAAAGTCAACGGCATGAAGTTCAGAATGGGCAAGTGCCAGTACTTTAGGTAGCACTATTGAACCAGATCCAAGCAGGGATTACAGAGGAGCACAGCTTGGCTGTATATCCACAATTGATACCACTACAACAACCTAATCTGGCTCTGTGATACTAATGTTACATAGAATTTCTGAGAGATTCCACTTGGCATTGGTGAAACCTAATCTGAAATATTACCATAGTGAAGTTGGATGTAGTAAAATTAGAGATCATGGAGAAGTGAGCAGTGGCAATGTTAAAGGTTAGCAGACATGATTTACAGATCAAAGACTCTGTTTAAGAGGGTGAACGTTTAAAGTTTGCAGGAAAGCACATTTAGATTAAGTATTGCGAAAAAAAGCCTTCTAATTATAAGGACTTTTAAACTCCAGAGCTAACTCTGGAGCTTGTGAAATATTCTTCATTGATACTTCTTAAACATAGGTCTGATACTTATGAACAGAGTATGCTCTGGGACCACTGGATTGTGTTTATGATTTAAAGACAATGAATTTGGTGACTGCAGGAGTGGTATTCCAGACCAATTTACTCCGATTCCCTTGTTTCTGGGATTAGCTCTAAATCAAGCAGTCAGCTTAAAATGGGATAAGGTAAGTTAGCTAACATAAATAAACAAAGCCTTATTTAACTGTAATGTTTGTCCTAGGGCACTTTATTTTAGTGAGACAAGGAAATGGTAGAGTTTAGTCAACATGAGCTAGCAGGTGCTAGCTAAGCTTTATTTAAAACATGACACATTTCAGCTCCATTCCCAGTGAAGGGAAAAAAAAACAACAAGAGCAAGGTTTTTTGAGAAGAGATGAGAAATTTAAATTCATCCACCAACTGGAAATAGATTCTGAACTAGCCTAACTCTTCTCCTTTGCCTGATGCACTTAATGTTTTAACTACCTTCAATTATTTCATCAGCAGACTTGAATCCTTTCACAATATCTCCTTTTTCTATTTTCCTTTGTTCAGTAATGTATGAATTATTTTTTATTGCATCCTGCAGCAAGAAATAAAACAAACATGTTAATTGTAAGACAGAAAGTTAGATGACTTTTATCATTCATATGATCCTTTTTCAGATGGACAGATGGCTGTAGCTAAGTATTAGAAGCAGCAGGATAGTTTTTCCACTATTAGAGAGGGTTTTTTCTTTTTTTTTCATAGTTCATGTAATTCTCTTCTTCCCCCAAATTAGAAAGATTAAATGTCTGTTAATGACATTCAGAACTGCTGAAAATATTTCAGAATCAGATTGTTTGCTACTGAAAACCTGCTAGGCTTGAAAATTTTCAGAACATGGATGTAGGATGTGTGATACCAGCACTTCTGCAACCATAAGTTCTCAAATTTAGTTTTATACTGATGTACTACTGCTGGGAATTGCTTACTTAGAACTTTCTGAATATTCTTTAGTAATTTCTACCTAGATCTACAAAAATCACTCTCCAATATACTGGATGAATATGTATCTAGTAAGACTTTATGTGTTTCTAGAACCAAAATTTTGGAAGCCATTTATAAACTTTTTACACTTCATATTCAGAACCAATAAAATCATATCTCATACCAAAAAAAAGAAAAAGCCAAAGGCTGGCAGAGCTCTGCACAAGGCAGAAAATAGTCAGTGAGGTGACAGAGAGCTCTGTCAGACAAGGAAGAGGAGACAGATAGTTACCTCAATAGTCAGAATTGGGTCCAGATCTTTGTAGACTATCTTCACCTTTCCAGCCCCACACTTTGCCTGAGTCAATGACTCTGCAACCACAGCACAGATTATCTGACCAACACAAATCACCTGCAACACACCAATGTATTACCCAAGGAAAAAATATAGTAGTGGTTAAGTTTCTGTACAGGAAGTGTTTTGAGGAAATAGATTCTGCTCAAATGCCATTTTTATATTCTGTTTCTCTAAGAACACTATCCCAGTGCAGACTTATCTTCATTAGATGAAAAGCCTATTAGAATCTTTCATTTGCTGTAACATTTCTGGCATTAGAAATGCTGCTGACATCAGTAGTTATGAACATTCCCCCTGTGTTGATCCTGAGGTGGCCAGATACTGGGCCAAGTAAAATCCCTTCTGCACAGACTGCTTTCCTTGTTTGTATGAAGAAATGAAGGAAACTCAGAGGAACAATAATAGAGAGGTAAGAGCAACACATTAGGAATTATTCTTGCCCTATTGCAAATACCATGGAATAGCATCACTTGTGATGGACACAGCCTGAGGCCTGGGACATTCTGTACAGTCATGCTGGATGCATAGATCCTATAAATTTCTTAGCTCTGTCGATATTTGTCAAAAAGAAAAGTGCTGTCTCCCTTTGCCATATTCTAGTGTATAATCTAGCAATTAATTTTATATTGGTTCCAACTAGGCAATTCTCATTTTATTTGTCTCATTTTTTAAAACTTCAGATATCATGGCTGTTTCACACTTTCTCAGAATCCATGACAATCACTCATTTATCAGCCCTTAAGGAATCATGGCTTATTCACTTAAACCCTAAGTTATTTAAGAGAGTTTATCCTTTCTCTCTTACTGGGGAATGGTAATTCTGCTCAGCCCAGTTTGCCTGGTTCTGCATTAATTGATTTTGCACTTACTTTCACTTCATTGCAATAAGATGATACTTGCAAACTCACTTTCCTATTTTATAAATAACTGTACCAAAATGTTCAGAGACTCCTCCAGAAGCAAGAAATACCTTATCTTCTGCATATGCTTGCTCATCTTTGCCATTTTTCCCTGGAACATCTCTTGCTGTCACTACATCAACAACTCCTGGCACCTGAAGGGCTTCTGATGCATCAATTGATCTGGAAAGAAGAACACGCACATAAATGAGTACAGTATGTGGTACAAATAACTCTAGTACAAGTAATGCCATGAACTTTGGGACAGAAAGATAATCTACTTAGTATTCTCATGACAGATCTCTACACAGAGAAGGGGAATGTGTTGATTAGCATATTGAGAAAAAAATTAAATGGAAGGCACGAGCATCTGTGTGTGCATGTCATAGAACAGCTCTTTTAATGCTAGCTCCACTACTTACAAAATATAAGAATATATTTTTTACACTTTTTTTTGTACTACAATGGGTGAATGAAATAATGTGGACTCTTCTTTCCATATCTGACACTTTTTAAAGCACACAGCAAAGAAATTCTTACCTCATTTGTAATACATACCTCGTAATATGGCCAAATCAGATAATAAAAATAGAAAATACTTGTTAACATACTTATGTGCTTGTAGTTTTTTCTTACTTACATGATCTTTGCATGGGCTTTAACGCTGGTGACCACAGCTAGTGAGAGTTCTCCATCCACGGGACGAATGTCATCAATGAAAACTGCCTCACCAGTGGTGTGCTTAATTCCAGACTGGTGCCTGATGGGACGGCCCACGGGATCTTGTGGAGACTGTCCTGGGTCAACATCCTGCAACACATGTTGTCCTCAAGACAGACCAGTAATTATAGGAGCCTTTACTTAAAAACACTTTCTGAGGATATTTGGTGATCAAAAAAACTATGTGGAACTATCTAAATTTTATGATGATACTTGTGGGATGCATGCATCATAAAGGACTAATTAGACTTTTAGATCATGCTATCTTGGCACCAAGGTGGCCCTGGCAGACGTCTGAGAAACATACTGTATTAGATACCATTCATGTCTCTAGTACATGGCAGCCTCTTCTGTGGAAAGATTGCACTAAATAAACAGAGGTGGAAAAAATCAAGAAAAAGATAGGTAAAAGGGACAAAATGACTAGTTTACACAGTGGAACCATAGTAGATAAAGGAGAGCTAAAGTGATCTGGATCTTATAGCTGGCCTGTCTGCTGGGTCCACACTGCTTCTGGTAGCATCTTGTGCAAGCCACACTCTTACACACTTTGCCATCACCACTGCTTCAAACAATCATATTTGATACTGTTTACTTAAATCAGGACTATATTCAGGAATCATTGTAATTCCTTCTTGTCCATCTTCCTGAAGAGACAGGTAAATTAATATTCTAGATAGTGTTGACTAGACTAAAAAATGGTTTATTTCATTTTTTTGCTATTTAAATTCCCTATTCTTCTATTACTTCAAAGACAGCCTGTAATTGAAAGCATTTCAGACATACTTAATTAAAATATATCTTTGGTGCTCTCTGTTGTTGAATTGCTAGTTCACATTAGCTTGAAACAGACTATTACTGGGGACCACGAAAATCTTCCAGCATTTATGTTTTGTTTGGACTTTTACCAAGTAAAGAGTTCTCTGTAAAACATTTCTTAGTCTCTCAAAGGACAAACACCAAATTCTTGGCTGATGCTGAAAGTTTTCGGTAGAAAACTGATAAGAAGCAGCAAAAGTTTGATTTTAAAAGTTTTTAAATTTTGCAACAAAACAAAAAAAAGGGGGAGAAATCTTGATAAAATTCAAAATTTTTAAAATTGAGATCTTCTACTGAACAAACTTTTTCATACTTCTCCTTTCTATACTATAGCTTTGCAAAGAAGTCTTTCAGGCTTGAACAATCACAGAGATGCTGCAGTAGGTTATTTCATTTATTTGTACTGAGGCCCACCAGGCAGTTTAACTAAATTCTGCTGAGCTCTTTCATTGCTGAAAGCTGTGTTCCCTGTTTCAGCTGTGTCAGGACAGCCTGATCTGCACAACACCTTGAAAACCAGGAGTGCATCTGTACCTTGAAAGACCAGGAAATCTACAAAAATGTAAAAGATTTCCCACAGCGACAAACATTTCAGCAGCTACACATTACAATTAGTAGAGGCTTAATAATGGAAGGTTAGAAGGGCAAAACACTCATTAAAAAAGAGGGTCTATGGCAGTCCTAGCTACAAACACACATCACCTGATAGATCTGGACACCCTGGGGAACACCACTTTGCAGCATTCCCAAAGCACTCATCTTCTCCTGTGAAAGCTCAGCATACCTGAAGGGATACTGAAAAGAAGGGATACTGTCAAAGCAGTGTTGTCAGACCCTTATTTCTAAAAGAAAAGTTTTCCCTTCACATGTTTTGAAGTAAGGCCTAGCACCTTTACCCTTCCCTCTCACATCCCTTTATCTTTAAAAAAGCAGAGTTTTCCTGCAGTCTATATGCTGATGGGGGTATGCAATTCTTCTCCAGTGCTTACCATCTGATGTAAACCATGTAACACTTCCAGGTAAAATCTGAAAAGAAAGCTGACAAGCAGAGTTCTCCTATATTCTACTTTTCCACCTGAAGCTGATGGAGGGAGAACAATTTCCTCTAGCACCAGTTTGCAAGCTTCATTCAGCATCTGATCATTCCATTGCCTGGTAAAAAAAGCAGACTAATATGAACACACATCTCTTTATAAGTAACAGGTGGCTAAAAATATTGTGAAGTTTTTGTGAAGTAATAAGTGAATCAGCGTAAGTTATATCAAGAAATAATCTATTGTTAGAAAGGACAGGTCAAATACAGTGTGAGAGGCTGATGGTGGGATCTCCACTGGTGCCATCAAACAAACCCCACGCTTCACACTATGACTCCTTCCTTTTGGTTAAATACATTAAGATATCCAGTACCTTCCTATAAGCTTCTCACAGGACTTTCTTGCACTGAGTGTGGTCGAGCCAATGCCTCCAAATAAAATACTCAGATCTACAATGGTGTCTGTGCCTGGACGGAAGAGCACTCGCATTCCAGAATTCACTATGGACAAAGCATTTTTCTGTCTTTCAGCCTGCCTGAAGGCTGAAATAAAGTCATCCTAATGGGAAAAAAAAAGGAAGGAAAAATTCCATCAATGTTAGAAATGACTGAAATCTATTTTTCTTGTATTTTAGGTGTTACCATTGGCCAAAGTTTCAGTTAAACTTTTTATTTTTCTTGAAGTACTAAGCTAATCCTAGACTGTTGTACTAAGAGGGGTCATTATTTGAGGTTATCTACATGTAAGAAAACATGGCCAAAATTTTAATGACTTTATCAGTGATTTGATGATTTCAGAGTACTGGAGAAGAACCCTTGTCCTGATATAAGCCACTTCATATATATGGCCTGTATGTTCTTTAAGTTTAATTCCAGGTTAGAAATTAGTGGTTTCTTCTCCAGGACATGGAGGTCCCACTGTGTTAAGGACCCTGATTTTGTGAAGATTTTACACTCAGAGATTTTACATTTTATGCTATAGTAATGGCATTTACAGAGGAAGCACTAGAAACAGCTGGGCTTTCTAGTGTCAGAAATATTTTGTTCTGGGGACAAAGCCACATATTTTAAAAGAAAACATAATAGCATTATCTTTCATGATCAGGCATAGATGAGTCCATTGAAGAAACTGTATGAAGTGCTATTTCTGTAGCCCCAGAAAGAAACTTCAGAATCAGACAGCCACAGAACTTTTAAAGTGAGGGTTAGCAGGTTAGATCTTCGCTATGAGTATGTGATACTCTCATGACAAATGTGAAATTCAGGATTACATGTTGAACAGTGAGTCTTGTCAGAGATGGAAAATCCTCTCAATAGGATTTACATTGCTTTACTGAAGCAATGTTCATATCAAACTACCCAAACCCAAAAGCCAGCAGCTGACAGGAACAACAGGGAAAACTGATGGCCAAGTTTCCCTCTACACATTCTGTTGACAAGTCTTGCAAAAAACCTTTGTGTGTGCCTTTTCATTGTGTTAGCAGAGTTAATCAAAAAGTTGATTCAGCATGAAAGTGAGTGGCAGAAGCAGCCTCCCCAGAAAGTGGTGTTAATTTCCCATGGTGAGACTTAATCTCATATTATTCATGTGACAGCTGATAATTTTCTTGCTCTGCAGAGCAACCTTCTGAGTTTGCCAGCAGTGCTATTGTCTTTTGTTCATTTTGTTGTCCTCACCTCTGCTGTTCCTAGGTGCGACTGTCTCTCTCTGAAAGGCTCTGAAATACTCTTTGTGATAGATTTGGCTTTGTGGCACAACTTGTCATTGGACAAAGCAGGTTGGGATTTCTTTTTTGTTTTACTTTGTGGAATGAAATAACCCATTTCTCCTTAATTTTCTCTTCCAGGCTGTTTGTTTCTCAAATCACTACTAAGGTTCATAGTTTCTAGGCAGCAGAAGCACTGCTACTGCTGCCAATGCAGCCGTAACTGTGCTTTTGCAGGCTTTGAGCTCATGGGAATCCTTTTGTTTTTCATGGGAAACCTGCCATGGCCAGCCAACTTTTCCTGGGCAGAAGCCTCATCCAGCATGAAGCCACATATGTTTAATAGGTTGCATTGCAGTGGGCAGCTACTCTGGGGACTGACCCTTTGATGTCAAGGTTGGCAGAGACTCCTGTGGTCTGTCGCTCACTGACTTCAGTCAAAACATACCAGCTTGTAGTCAGGTCTTCCCCTACTCGCCCCGTACTTTTCCTCACATCCACTAGAGGGATATCTAAGAACACTAACCAGGACACCATTTCCTCTGCCCCCAACCCCTAATGCCACACGCTGCCGCCTTCTGTCGCAGTAGTCAGGACCTTATTTTTTGAGTAGTTGCACGGACAACGCAGGATTATTCATTGTAAATCGCCGATTAGTGAGAAGAGGTCAGAAATTACCTTTATCGCTGAAGGCTATGTGACAATATGGCACTTTTCCTGCAAATATCCAAGCAGCCTAAATTTCTGTGTCTGGAAGGGGCAGAAGCACACATTTAAGACTGGGGAAAAAGCAGTAAGAGACCCAAAAGAAGCAGAAGATGATGGCCAGCTGGAAGAAATGGGAGACGGGAAGAGAAGGATGCCAGAACTTTCTTAGCTACTTCCAAAGCAGTAGTAGCCTGCATGTTTCAATGCCTACTGCAAATAGTGGATATAATGCTAATAACTACCCTGGAACCTGAATGAAACTTTTGAAATACTGGGGTCTTACCTTCATAGAGTATGGAATGAGAACAGAAACAATGACCTCCTTGGCATTTATGTCTGCATGCTCACAGCCAGCAAGGAAACGATCGTTTAAAAGAATCTGTCTTTTACCATCTGTTGGAGAAAACTCTAGTCTGTTACTGAATGTGAAGCAAGAAGGAAACATTTCTGCATTGCAGATTCAAATTTGTTGAATCTGTGCAAAAGAATGTATTAAGGCCAATATGGCCTTAGAACTGTCTACACCACTCAGGATCTAGCCTTTTAGTGAAAGGCTAATCTAAGTTACATATTAGGTGCAATATATTTCCCTATATGAATGCTATAGTTCTCCATCACAGATAAAATACTAAGTATTTTATACTTTCTGGAAAAATACATGTCTTTCAAATGCTAATAATATTCAGAAAAGCAGTTATTTAGGTTTAAATATAGCTATTCTGTTTCTACTCAAAAGCTCTTTAGACCATTAAATCATTAAATCACAGTAACTTTTAAGAAACTATTCAAGCACTGCAATGAGATGGGGAATCAGCCCTGTACATCAAAGACAGTAGAAATGTTGCCAAGATTTTCCAAAGCTTTAGCTTGATTACTGGTAGCAATTTAAACACAGTGTACATGTATACACACACATACATATCCACAAAAGTACAGGTGACCTCAGGAGAAATTTCTAGGCCCTAAAAGTTTCTCTTAAAATGAAACAGGCATAAGCAATAAAAGCAAACAGTGTTGGAGTTACAAGACAGAGCTAAACTGTCTGATAAATGCAGCAATATAACCAAAGGCAGTGTAGAAAGGAGGCCTTTCTACCCATCAGGTGTGCTGACCTTACATTCATGAGATGGTTAGATGCTGCTTCCTTTTGTCTTGTGAAACAGAAAGACAGTGTTTTCTACTGGCAGATACTTTTTGCAAGTTATAATGACAAGCAAATACCAGGATAATGTTCTCCATTCTCCTGAATATACCATTCTAATTCATTTAGGAGATGCACAGTAGTATTTAATTTGAAAACTGTTACCTGTAGACATATTCTTTGTTGCAATGTTCTGCCTATCCCACAAAGGTATCTGGCAGGGGGCTCAAAGCTTACCTTCTGATGCCAAGTTGAGGACAGATTTGCCAACTGATAAGATTGGATTCAAGTCCCAGGATGATCCTCTGCTTACAATGTGTCCTCCTAAAGACTTTAACGAAAAATGAGGTTATTTTTAGGCTTGCCCTTCCCTTGTAACAGGGATCTGTATCATAACCCCATTTTATTTCATTAAAAGACCTGATGGAAGAACTTATATTTGTTTTGTTCAATTTTAAACAAAGTTCTACTTTTGTACATTTTAATGTAATTTAATCTATTGCTCCCTTCAAAAGCCCTTTCTCATATTGTCTCTGTTGACAGAGACCAGGTTCACTTTTTTGCCGGCCAAAGGCATGGCCATTCCCTTGAATTTTCTTCCTTAAAGGAAGAAATACAGGGTATTGCAGTAAGAGGATTTTAAAGGAAAATTAGGGACAAGATCAGAGATGCCTAATACATGATGGGTAAACAGCTATGTGTTGATAGTCAACTTAAAGCATGATTGGCTGCACTGTACAGCACCTTACCAGAGAATGTCCCTTTTCTTCTTTTCCCAGTCTCCTCCAGTTCTCTGCTCATCCACTGAGCAGGAATAGCAGAGTTTCTCTTGTCATAGTTCTCTGGATATTTGCCCTCACTAACTAGCCTAGGACTCCTAGTTATTTCACACAACATTTGTGATAGTAGTAACGTTTTAGCCTTATAAAGCACGATCCCAGCCTCATAATTGACATTCACACAGACATGTCTGTGGTGATGTCTTATTTACTGTCACTGCTGTACACATACCGCCATGCTCCTGATCTGTTCTCCAGCTAGAGTTCTCAGGTGCTGCAAGAGAGCTCGGTATGTTTTTGTTTTCTCTGCTGGAAGTTCTGTGACTGCCTTCATTAGGATGTCTCTGAGCTGGGCCAAGCAGCAGGCAGCTCCTATTACTAGCCCTGAAATCAAATGAGTTTAAACAGTGAAATCATCTTGCCACAGAATAAATGCAATATATAGCTGATATGGCCTCTAAAGAATTGCTTCTGTATACAGCTTTTGGCAGCAGGATGACAAAGAGAAATGATAGGAAGGTGGATTTTATATTACATGCAATAAGAAATGCAAGTACTACTTGCTTATTCAGCAATAGGTCCCACTATAAAGACATGCGTGAAAAATGTACATTGAATATTTTCACACAGTAGTGCACATCCCTTTTTTGTGCTGTGTATCCCCAAAGACACGAATAACAGTTGATTCAGGAGGAAGGATCGCCAAATTGTCGGAGTCTTCCAGGACTGAGCTGCAAACACTCTATCACACTCCCAGTAGTATCAGAGAAGCCACCACCATGGACTTCAGCGAACACTGAAGTAGCCCAGCCACTCCAAAGAAAATCCTATAGTATTTCAGATTGGAAATATATGTTTGAATATTTTGTGTTGAAAATCAAGCCCTAGCCTAATCAATACTTTGTGGACTTTGTTAGATATATAGTTGTGATAGAAAGGCTCTTGACCAGTTGAAAACAAAAATAAGGCTGACTTAGGGCCTTCCCCTATGCTTGCTGTCTGCAGAAATTTGAGATTTGAACAAATATATATCCACAGAACAGTTTAATAAATTATCTATCACAATCAATCCATCATTTCAAGACCATAGGTGAGCTGACATATTGGTTCAAAAGGCTCAGTGAAATGAGACAAAAAACTTAAAAGAAAGCTCCAGACCAATGAGATTCGATGGTTCTTGCTGCTTCAGGTGCAAGACCCAAGTTAATTTAGTTGCCATCATTTGTAACACAGTAGAGATAACTTGGAAACTTACCATCACTTGTGCTACTCACAACAAGCATTTCTGAAATCCTAACAGGATGGAGAATGATTGGATGATAGGCACCACTGTGATTTCTTTTGAGTCCTGAAAGGCGAAGTATGATAGTATGATTAGAGATGTGTTTAAAGAATTAACCATATTCCTGAACATGGAGACTGAAAAGTTCAAAACCACTGTAACTAAGTAGTTTCAGTGTCTTATAGGTTTTGTTATGCAATATCTTGAGTATCACATTTTACTGCTTTTACCAGGCCCATCTGAAGTTCAAAGTCTAATATTGTCTTTTCTGGCTCCTGTTCCTTGCTCCTCTGAACTGGTTTCTGGTCCTTTCCCATATCAAACTCAGATTTCACCTCTCACCTGAAAGCTATACACAATTCCACACATGCTTCATCATGTTTCTAGCTATTCACTCCACCTTTTTATGTGAGCTATATAATTTTTCTGCTTCCCTTGTTCTCTTCTTGTGCAATGTCTTTCTGATGACAATAAAGAGCTTTCCTTTGATGTAAAGAGACTTGAAGTTTTTAATTTAAGAGATTTGCCATCTTGCCAAGTACTGCATCATGGGAGTATATTACTAAACAAATGCCATGCCCATTGCCATACTAGGCAATGTACAGATATATAAAAGATCTAAAGGATTCTCTTTAGATCTGGGCCTTTGTTGTCTCAACAATGAAGGAAATATTCTTACCAAATTCATCCTGATGGATACTCCCTCAAAAAAAGTATACTAACAATTTCTAAAAACAAAACCCTGCCATCCATAATATGCAGAATTTAGCCAATGCCTGGATATCATGCCCTTTTCTGGGCATTATTTATTTTGTGATGCTCGATGTTAAATGGGATGTGAAATGTTTGCCTCTCATCAGCACGAGTCCTTCACAAATTGTGTCTCTGAGACCGAGGTTACTGAGGAAAGTTAGGCAGCACAGATTCTGGACTTGGGTGACAGCTGGTACTAGTCCTAATTTAGTTATTGATTTGCTGCAAAAAAGTCATGGGAAATTACATTGGCCTAAATATTGAAGCACAATCCTTGTGGTGACAAAATGCATTTAGGATCCCTGGAAGAGAAAATGCAGGATTATGTGCCTACTGCACAATGTAGTCCCTGTGTCAGAAGATCTTTTGTCCTTCCATACCCACAGTAGTGTTCCCCACAACCAAAGGTGCCTTTGGATACTTGGCTTTCAGCTTCAGAAGCTTCTTCAGGCTAGGAGGAGAAATCCATGTTGTTCTTTTGCCATGAAAAATCAGAGTTGTTCTTTGCTGCTCTTGAGCCATTCTCTGTGGTAGAAATGACAAAGACTTTGTAAATTTGACTAGTGCCAATAAAAATATAAATGAGCATATTGCTCAGTAGGACACTGTGTTATGATAGACAGTGAGACACTAATGGGGTTTTTCATCTGAGGTTCCTGTTGTGCTGAACAGTGCTGAGCTTTTATCCTAACTACATTATTGCTGAAGAAACTGAGATGAGAATGAACTAAATGACTTGGTAAGAGACACACTAAATGAATAGTAGGAGATTAGTCTCATGTTTCTTTCTCCTGCTCTGATGATTCTGAAAGACTCCCATTGTATATGATGTAAACAATAAAGCAATGTGACTGGACTTAGTGGGAAATAGGGATGCCAAAATCTCACTGCACATGTGACAGAAACAAGATGTATTCTCTTAGTCAGGGAAGATCACTACATCCCCATTTGCTGAGAGTCATGTATCTACTATACTAGATCCAAACTAGTTTCTATAATAGGTAAAATGCTTTTAGAAATAAAAATACCTACTTTCCCATTTGTCTGCAAGGACTAGTCTTTTCAGAGATATTGTCTCCTTGGGATAGTTGATCAGAATTTACATTTTTGTTAAATAAAGTGGTTTTCCAGCACCTCCTGTCTTACAAAACTATATAATTTTTTTTTCCACCCTGACAATATCATACATGTTCTTTTCATATTTGACAAGTGCCATGTGGAATCATAATTTCAAAATATGCAAAAGCAATCCCTGCGAAACACCTGTCTTTGCAGACAATGCAGTAACAAACAGACCAGTGGACTAGCCAGAAAACAGTTCCAGCTATGGACTGGCCTTCTAGGTAAAAGACATATCTGAAATACAAAAAAGGAGCTATGTGTCTGTGGAAGCAATCATAATCCTACTGGCATGGGCACCTCATGTAGCCTGGAGAAGCAGTTCCGTCCTCCTGGCAGCTCAGTCTGAACACGTAGAGCAGATGATGGCACCTCCTTTCTGGCTGACTAGCTTTTTCAGCCAGCAGCACTTTAGCCAAGATCTTTAATCCAAGTATAAAATTTGCAAAATATTCACTTAATACTTGCACTTTTAAAGCATGAGTCTCTCCAAGACAGGTCAATAGCAGAAAAGCAAATCTACTTTCCACTTCATGGTTTCATAAAGGAGCTTATGGCTTACTGAGCATGTTCTGCACTGAGAGACAATCATTAAATAATAAAGATGCACTCTATGACAAATGTTTACAAAACCAACTACCACGCAGTGAACAGCATTTTGTAGTACAGTGACAAACCAGAGAACTGTACCATGTATTTTCAGAACTCAAATGAACTTTTGTGCCTCTAGGGTGGTAGAGCAAGAACTAGGGTATCAGCGAGAACTGCCCACGAATTGCAAAAGGAGTGCACGCAAGGAATTTCATAAGAAGCTGCTGAAACATGAGCGAGGATTAAAAAACCGCCTGGAGCTGCCTGCTTGGATTCTGCTCAGTTTGATTTGGGTAAACCCTGCCCTGCTATTTTCACAGATCTCTTCTCTTGCCTCTGTCTGCAGATTATGGGCACTTTTCTCCTCCTCCTCTTTTTAAGTTTCCATCTGTGAGTTTCCAATAACTACTGCAATAAACCCTCTTTTTTTCCTCTTCAAGTCATTTGCCTTTCCTGTGGACCTGCCTGTAAGTCCAGTCTCAGATTGCTAGGGTCTGTTTACCAGCTGGAAGCAAACAATGACTTGAATCCAACAGAGAATACAAAACAGAAAAGATGGAAAGTGCATTTGGGATCTTTCAAAGTAAATACTGTATTCCACAAAAAAGCCAACTGGTCCAAAATAACGGTCATGAGTAAGGAGCTCTTTTGGGAAATGTTGGTTCTGCAGAGGCAAACAATTTGCTTTTTAAATATGATCTATTTGTAATAATGACAACATGCGGATTGTCCACATTGAAATGCCTCATTATTTGTGACTAAAACTAGTATTTTCTATTTGTCTGAGGATAGATGTTTCAGTTTCACAAAAACATAAGGTTTTCAACTTCTGTAGGAACTCAGTCATGCTTGCAAGATAACAGAAGTCAGTAAGGCCTACCATTAGTTCAGGAGGAAATATAAATTCCTGTGTTGGATCCATGGGCAGGAATTGTTCTGGATTGCAAAGACCTGAAAGGATCTGCAAATAAATTGGGGGGGGGGGAAGAGAGAGAGAGCAGAATGCACATATTCAGACTAAGTTGCAAGTCTTTGTCAACAGATGAGATTCTTTCCTACTGTGAGACAGTTTTGACACTTTATAGGTTGTGTTCAAAAATTCAAGATCCCCTAACTAATTTCTAATCTTTAGTTTATTCACAGACTACTCAAAAGATGGACTACTCAAGAGACAGACTATCATACCAATCCCTCTCAAGCCTTTGCTTGAAATACATCAAGCTTCAAGAAAAATCTTGCAGTATTTCCTGAAACTGGTCATAGCAAATGTATTGCACCACACTGGGTGCAATGTGTGCTGTGGGAAGGTGCAGGGCTGGATGGTATAGTTATGTTCTGTTCATAACTGTGTCTCTTAAGGAGCTTTCTGACAGAGCTTGACATGACAACAAATAATGTCCATCTGATCAGAAAGAATTGTTTTCTGCTTTAGGAGAGCCTTATGCAAAACTCCTCTTCAGCCTTGCATAAGCACTTCAAGAACCGAATGTTAACAGTGCACCATAAAAATTAGCTTTTTCTACTTGTTCACAGCTGTCTTTTTTCTGCAGAGGCCTCTGGTGAGGCTATCCATCTTCTGAGCTTTCAGAAGCTTACATAAAAGAAGACTGAATGTGCTATGCTAGCAGAACTGGTTTGTATTTTCTGCCTCACTGATTTATTTGTGGAATCAAAAATCCTGTCAAACCAGAGAGCAACAGGTCTCAAGTATATTGAAAGGGGAAAAAAAATTGATATATCGTAGTATGAAGTCTCTTATTCCTTCCCCAATCAGTCATTACCTCTGAACAGATTGTGGCCTTGGTAACTATAAGATCTGGCTCTGGATGACTTAGTCTACTGATTGACGCCATTGATGAAATGGCAAAAAAAAATTCTGTGTCTGCTATGATCCTCACGATAGTTAGGGACTAGACTTGGATGAAAGCAACTAGGAGGAATGCAAATCATGAAAGCCAAATAAGAGGGCATCCAAAGGAACTGCTGTTTTGTAATTGGCAACTACTCCATTGCTAGACTTGTGCTTCAAACAACCTCGGCAGCAGCTCATCAACAATTTTCAGTTCTTAGAGGGGCAGAGGCAACACATAGGTGCACAAATGTCCGCACATCCAGTCACACTCCTTGGAGCTCTACAGTTTTTTCACTGTCAAAACAAGTTTTCTTCCAATCACCCAAGACATTTTGCTTTATAGATTTCTTAGAGATTTTCAGTCAGAGAAAATTCATCTAAGGAATTAAAATCCTCATTCTGATGCAAGATCAGTGTACTATGGCCTCTTCTTACAGGTGGATGAAGAGAAGACAACAAGTTCTTAGATGCACACAGGGAATGGAGGACCTTTTTGAAGCAGGATCCTCCTTATGTATACTGGAGCTCCCATATGTACCCTTAAACATAATAATTGCGGAACCTTTGACAGGACAAACACAAATGAGGTGACTTGTGATTTTACAATGTGCATATGTAAAGTGAGAATAAAACAACGTGTATTTTGAAGCAATACCAATACATCGGTTGCAATACAATACAGGAGAATGAGACACAGTTGCAATACAATACAGGAGAATGAGACACTTCCCTCAAGATCTTGGAGCCACTAGCAACACAGTAATGCTTATGAAAGGCTTTACAAGTATACACTGACACTAAACAGCAATAGTTTTGTTTCATCTTCAGGAATTCAGATTTGGTGTCTCAAGCACACAGAAACAAGTCATGCTGATGGCTGCAAAACTTCTGTTATGGGAGTTCAACTTCACATCAAGGTCAGCTTTTTTAAGAAAGCTGTCGCTGACCAACGGTTTTCTTCTTCACACACAAAAAAGCAGACATAAATGTTTAATATTGAGATCCACACTCTCACTGGAAAATGTCACTAAATAAGTAAGCCATCTGAGGAGCGGCTGAGGTCACTTGGTTTGTTCAGCCTGCAGAGGAGGCACCTGAGGGGACAACTGCGGTTACAACTTCCTCGTGAGAGCAAGAGGAGGGGCAGCCACTGATTTCTCTGTGGTGACCAGTGACAAGACCCCAGGGAATGGCCTGAAGTTGTGTCTGGTCTAAATATCCAAAGCTAGAAAAGTAGCTGCTGCCATAGTTAAAGACCACCCCTTCCTACAAATCTGACAACGCAAACAGGAGTTAAAAAGAAAAAAAATCTATTGTAACTTACCTGACCCCCTGTAGAAGATGAACAGACACGTTCCTCCTGATCCAAGCAACATTGTCCAGTTCCTCTGAGTTGGCAACACGTTGGCTCCTAAAGAAATCATATTCTATTATATAAAAGCAATGAGGCAGCTTAGTGATTTATTTGTAAATTAATGTTTTGATGCTTCCTATTCCAAATTAGATTTGTTCAGCCATTTGAAGTTGCTCCAGGAGACCCCTTAAACCATAGGACCCCTAGGAGTGAGTTCCCTTTGGGTACCCAGGTATGCATGAAGTAAATGGAAAAAATCAAAATTACTTCAGTGGTGTTTAGATCAAGTCCTTGTAACTGATGTGAAGGATTTTCCACTGCATTGCAAGGGTACATGTAAACCAAAAGTCAATGGTGGCTGTAAGCTCTTGGCACATTTGCAAACTAAAAGAGCCAGATTTTCCAAAGGCTCAACCGAAAAAAGATTTTCCAAATGATGCAAGATTCCAGATAGGTAATTCAAAGAGGCTCAGCCTTTTCAGATACCAAAAACTATCCCAAAATAAGAAATACATTTGAAAACACTGACCTACCCTAGCAAAAGATGTGTAGCTGTCTATAATTGGCCTGTATCCTGTGCAACGGCACAAATTACCTGAAATAAACCATATGATAATCAATCATAAGAAACCAGAACAATGTTCGGAAGCACCAGCACAATTGGAAATGATTTGGCATCAAACCTGCAGATACAAAATGCTGAAATTTATGTCCCTATGCTCAAATGGGCAAAATCACATACGTAAAAATAAGAAATATTACTCCAATAGTGATTACATTATTAAAATTTATTATTTTTAAGGCCATTTCTAAAAATAATATTAATTACTTTATGTGAATGCATGTAAAAAAATCAAATTATGAAAAGTATCCAAAAGTAAATTCTACAATTACTAGTACCACTACAGTGTTTGGGTTTTACAATCAAATCCAAAATCTACTGCCATCCATCACTACGATGATTTTCATATATAATTAGAAGAAGTAATAAAATCTCTACTGCAATTTCTGGCATTTCGCTTATGAAATCAAAATCTTCTGATGGGAGGGGTTAATTACTTTGGAAGCTATAGGAGTGCTAGCAAACTTGGCACTTGAAAGTGAGTTGAAGTTGCTTTGCCTATTATAGTAAATATTGCTTGAAGAGCAAGACTGTTGTATCACTCAGTGAATACTTATACTCTTTCAGTATATTATACCTACTCTTTCAGCATATTCTTTGTAAAACTGTACTCCTACTGCACCATATTGAGGCTGTTGGTGCAGGAGGGCTATAAAAACAGGCTGTTCTAAATGCAGGGATTTTCAGAAATATTTATGCAGTGCTAAAATGCCACTGTGTATCCCTTTAGAAGCCTTGTGTGTGAACAATCTTTTGATGATTTTGAGATGTCCTTAAGCCATTATGGCTATATCAGAGTACCATCTACTGCCATCATCTACTTCTCTTTGAGTTAAATCATACTTATGACCTTGGCAATCAAACATGTATCCTTTTATTATACTTTTTACAATTTACTGCCTGTAACTTACCATCCAGAGCAGAAATAATCTGCTCCATGGAAGGTTCTGCATGGTTTCTCAGTAAGGCATACATGGACATCACCATTCCAGGGGTGCAGAAGCCACACTGGGAGCCATTGCATTTGGCCAGCCTTTCCTAGAACAAAACAGAACAACAGTCCAGGATGTGGCTTCACTGACTTTCTGAATAGCCATCTTCAGGTATGTCATCTACCAGCTGTAGGATGGCAGCAGCATTTTCACTATCCCAAATTCTCAGAGCAATCACCTAGTTAAAGGATAATACTTGCTCCAGTTTAGACCCTCATGATCCTAATTATGAGAATAGAATAAGGCCCGAGACTTTCCATTTAGACATCAATCATACATTAGGTATTTCTAACCAAGAAGGATAGAATACAGACTACCTCCTCAACCAGAGCTTCAGCACAGACCAGTCACAGAGTCGTGACTCTTGGAAAATAATATTGAGACAAAAAGAGAATGTTCAGAAAACATTCTTAAATCTATGTGGTCAGACTGTGATTTTCAGGGACAAGCCAGAGTGGAGGAAGTAAAGAGCTGACCTAATCCAAGGGAAATCTCTGGCACACAGATCAAATAAGCCTAATTTAATACCTGCCAGTCTGGTTGGCAGCTGGAATCATTCATCCCGTACTACACATATGCACAGACCGTTGTCCTCAGTGAGATGGCCAGAGGCCACGCTGGTGACTAAATGAAACTGACTGATGCTCTTTGTCCTTTCCCATCCCCTTCCGAAAGCTGGCATCCTACCAGCCATATGCTTGGATAGTCCTGTGTTGTGGAGATTGTGATGTGCTCCCTGCATGGGAGTACATTAGGAGGAGCTCCTTCCATGCTCCATACAGGGCCAATCACAACCAAGCAACTGTTGTATTAATTTCCTCAAACACTTGTTCATCTAAAAAGCTCAGACACCATTCAGTTTTTAGAACCCCTTCAGAGACTTTGCATTGCACAGACTCACAGCACCTTCTCACAGATCCCAGTTTTGTTACAGACATAGGACAGGACACTCTCATAATCTTGTAGCCTTACACAGTCCAGCTTACTCTCACCTGAATTGGATGAATCCGGGTTTTTATGCTTCCAACCCCTTCCACAGTAATGACAGCAGCACCATGCAGTGAACATAATGGGAGAAGGCAGGAGTTGGCAGGACGATGACTTTGATATGTGAAGGAGAACTGTGGCTTTAAATAGCTTTGTTGTATGAGTCCATGGAGGATGAAACAAAGGATATATACTCCAGCTAATCTAGAAATACTCTGACTTCTGACGTTAGAAAGACATGGGGAGAAGGATATGCAAGCGTAAAAAATCCTGCACTTGGACCACGACAGTATGCATCCTGCTCCTAGAGCTGGGACTTAGGCATTAAGTAATAGGCTCTTCTAATTAAAGAAGTGCAATGTGTAGTTAAAAGAAAAAAAAAACCCTACATGTTTTCTTAAAACCCAAAGTCTAGGACCAGCTGTGATGGAAGTCAGGCACAGCACTTCTAATGGAACAAAGTTTCAAGAGCCAGGGAGAGACAACCCAGAACTACTAACTCTGCTGTGGGAGAAACTGTACAACCACAATGTAATAAGTCTACTGCAAAAGTCCTTGGAGATTTTATCAGTGATTATGTGAAACAAGTAGTGAGAATTTATTAAAAGTGGCATATCCTCAAATAAGCACAAAGGACTTAGGAGAGGCAGATGACAAAAGGGCTGTTGAAATCTCAAATCATAAAGAACTCAGTCTAAAACATCATTTTCCCAGAAGGCTTGGGGGTTTGGAGTTTTTGTTTTGGTTTGTTTTTTTTTAAAGTATTGGAAAGGATCTAAATCTCTATTACTGTGTGATCATGAGTTCAACTCTGTAATTTCCCAGTGAATGTCAGTTTTCCCAAAACACTAAATTACTGCTTTCAAATATCAGCACCAGGATACTGTATCAGTTTGGCAACAGGATCATATGTGGATATCATCACAGTGCAGGCACCACAGCCTCCTACTCCACAGCCATATTTTGTACCTGAAAGACGGACTGCAAAGGAGACTGTTAAAGAAAAAAAATTACCATATTCAAAAGATATTTTTTCTTTATGTTCTTCTGAGTCTCCCTTGTTTTATCTGCATGTGCAGAACTGGAGGGTGCTCCCCTGTAAAAGGGATGGTTTGAGCAAATACAGCAATAGGTCTTATTAGCCTTACTCACAGTACTTTCCTAATCACTGCACATAATTATCTGTATCTCGTGTTTGCAAAACCGTATCAACAGATCTCAGTATGTTTCCAGTGCTGCTTCCAGAACATCCTAGGAAAACAGTGATTTTAATGGAGCACAATACCCAAGTGCACACACCTAAACCCTGTATGGAAGGACTCCCTCCATTATGTGCCTCAGCACAAAGGCTCCACACTCAAACCACAATCTCCTTCTGCAGTGCCCTGCAGTCCAGTGGAATCTACCACTTCCTTTCATCATTTCCCTTCACTTGCTTAACTTTAGAAGCTACATGGCAGCTTCTTAGCTGCCACTGAAGTCAACAGAGCCCTGACAGCAGTTAGCAACCTGAAGAGCCTCAAATAACAAAATAAAAGTAATAAGATAATAAAATAAGCTTATATAAAACTCTCTGAAGGACTGAGGCCTAAATAAATTGTTTACTGCAGAAGTAGTTCAAAATTTACAATGTTATACCCATATAACTAACACACACAATGCACATGCAGCACTGGATTGCTCTGCTGGGAACAAATGCAAGGCAAATTTTGTTATTTCTACTTATTGTTCTGTTTACGCTGGTTCCCAAAGAAAAGTGAAACAATCTTAATCCCCAGTTGCATTAATTTACAGACTTATAGAACTCAAAGGCAAAGTTCAAAAAAAGGATATGCTTCTTTCTTAGATAATACAGCAGCAATTCTTCAGGATCTGCCTGCCTTTCTATTACCTATGTTGTGAAATAAAAGAAAAAAAGAGATTATAGGTCAGAGAGGAATCTAAAATAACCATCTCACAAGGATTAATTATGATGTTTAAATGTAGTGATTGTGGATTAGTGTGGAGCATTTGTTTAGAAACAGGATGCTGTCACTTGATCATAATCTGCAGAATAAATGAGTGGGTCAGGCAATGTTGGTCAAATATGTGAAATAATTGCTTGCTCAGAGAACTGAAAGGGAAGAGAAGTTAAGTAAGCACTTGGAGAGACAAGACTAGAAGGAAAAGTGCCTTTGGCCTAGATCCTTTGTTGATTCCTAACAGCATGAATCAGAAATCCCTTCATTTTAAAGCCATGAACTTGTGCCTGCAAAAATTCTGCCTAATTTTATCTCCTTGAAGTTGATATTAACCCCTTCATTTGCAGAGACCCATTAGCATAACAGCAGAGGAAAATCTTAGTGTAAGAAGAGCAAGAGGGATACATATCTAACTATATTTTCATTCTAATTAAGTTTAACATGTATGAGTGGGCTTATGCAGGCCTTGCTTTATCCTTGTCTCGAGAATGTCGTTGTACCATCAGCGTGCTTGAAATTGTTGGATACAAGAAAACACAAACAACTTTGAAAAAAAATGTTAGGACCCATTGCTGCAGAATGACCAGAGAATGAACCTCAGGCTTCTCTCAACAATTCTGCCATATCAGCAGCATGCTCCAATTTACCACGTATAAGACAACATGGACTAGTTCAGGAATTTATACAGAAATGCAGAGTGAAATAAGGTTTCAGAGTATGTCTTGACATGTAATGACAGATAAAACATAACAGACAGAAAGAAGTTGAACTACTTTTCCTTAATTCACCTGGTCAAATTAAAGCCATTACCATCTCTCTAGAGTATAAAAGTGTTGACCAAAAAACTGAAAAATATCTCTAGAAAAGCAAGGTTGGTTAGCTGGTTTGGTTTTTTTAACAAATAAATATATTTCCTTCCTTTTACTTTATATCGTATTTTGGGTGACATTTTTGCTAGTAGAACTTCTCATTCACTTGACCTGCTAAGTAAGAAAATGCGACAAAATGTCTTAGAAAATGGAATGTGAGCATTTGGCATCAAGAACAGAAAAAAATTAGCTACCTCTTTTCTTTTAGTGAAATTCTGAAACTATATTAGTAATCTGCATATTCTTTTACTAGAAAGGCACTTCAACTACATCAACTTTAGGAGTACATTAATAAAAGATTTTAGTAAACAGATAACTATTTTTAATTCTAAAAATCTGTTTTATAAGAGGTGATACAAAGTCACTCACATTCTGTAAAAACCATGGGATAAAGTAGGAAAATCAAAGACAAGAGACGATTATCCATGAATAAACTGTTGCTCCAGAATAACAGTTTCCAAATGTGAACAGAAAATATTAAAGCCATGCTGTTCAAAAAAGAAAAAGCATTTAAAAACTTACCTTCCTGCCATTCACAAAAAAGACAAGCTCATCTGATTGTTGAGGGCAAGCCATGCTGTTGCATCAAAGTCTGAAAAATAAAGCTTTATGCATCAAGAGAAATTAATGAAATGCTCTATGGTCCTAAAGGTCGACTGAGTTTGCTTTGTCCTGCAGAGTTTAATTTGATGCTCAGTCTGCAAATAAGCAAGTGGGGAGGAGCCAGTGCAATGTATATTGTTTCTCAGCAATTAAAGCGTGGTCAGATGCCAACGCACCACCTCCTACTCCCTACCCCAGCTCTTCCCTGGTGACTTGAAATAATCTGGGAAGAATCTGAGCCCCTGTAACCTAAGAGACAACTGTGAGGGGGTACTTTTGGTTTGAGCTACAGGTGCCAGGCCTATTTATTTTATATTATGCAGTGAATTTAGAATACATAGGCATGTCTGATGCAAGAACCAAGGACAAGCAACATTACACATTTCTGTGGGGTGTCAAATGGAAAGCTGTGGAGCTGTGGTTCTCATTTACCTTGACCAGAACTATCCATGATTTTCTGTCTTCAGAGCAACCAAGTTTTAACAAAATCAACATCACTACTCTACACACATTTAAAATTTCCTTCTGGCTATCTCTATGCCATGCCAGCTCTATGTCCTTACTGCTGTGGGTACCATTATAAGATGACCATACTCAAGACATGCCATGTCCTTAAAGAGAGAAATCCCAAATACCGATTTGGAGTTCTAGATTCGCATCCATTTCTCTGTATGCCTGTCCAGGAAAAACAAGGTCATTAATCTTTATATACCTTATTACAGCCGGTCTTCTTTTTCTTTTTAAAGGGGAATTATGTATATGTCTTTCAAAAGTCTCCATTTATGTATGTGCATGTCTTCTGCTTCATTTACCATTTTCACATTTTCCAGCTAAGGTGTCTGCATTTCATTTAGAGTCAGTGTAGGCTTGCAGGACAAAGTAGTCAGTCCCTGATCTTCTAACACTCCCCATCAGAAGGCAAAAAAATTATTCTCAGCAGAGATATGCTGCTGCTTTTGTGATTTAGCCCTTAATTTACGCCTGAGAGCTGCAACAACACAAGCACTGAAGCCATGTCAGTCACCAGGTCCCTGTAGGCAAAAGCCCTAATGCGTCCTGCCAACTGTAGCATCAGTGTAGTATTCCAGGTGTTGTAGGTATGACAATGCAGTTCAAAGGCCTGAGAACAGAAGGAACCAGACCAAATACCTGATTTTGGCAGAACAATATCTATTTAGAGACTACTAGCCCTCCAAACCAGATCCTAGTATTTATATTAGGTGTTTAAGCTTACACCACACAGAATGGGACTGCGGAGGGTGAATAATTGTAAGAAACACTTCTCTTAGGAAGAAAATTAGTAGAAAGAGTTCTTCTCAAGCATCTCCAGTTTGGGTGTAATTGTGCAGTTACAGTGCACATTAATGTGCAGCCATCCGGTATGTCAGTGCCTTTGGAGCTCCAACATTTCTGTTTGTTTATCTCCCTGTATAGTCCAAGAAAATTCCTTTCATAATATCCCAGGGTAGCTATAGTATCATCTGCCAGGATGGTTAACTGCTGATATTTCTAGCTTCCATGCAGTTTTTCAAACACCTAAAAGCCAGCAAACAGTTTAATATGTTTGGACCCAAAATAAACAACAACTCATATTTGTTACATGTATAGAATTTACTGAGACAACTAGACAACAGTGCCACTTGTAAAGAGGCAGGGAGGAATCTTTGTCAATAATGACTGAGAAATACAGACAAGCAGACAAGATTTGCACTGCAGACAACAAAGTGTGGGTCTAGAACACGATGAGTCCTTGGAGTGCAAACACCTCAGCACTGTAGATGGGGAGATGCCATTGCCTGTGAGGATCGGGCAATGATTTTGGAAGATTTTACTTGTCTGGAACTAACTAGCACCTGTGCTGATGCATAGGCACATAGGTTAACAACAGAAAATGTAGCTTCCCCCCAGTTCAGTAGACCTATAGGCTCCCTGCTTCAGCATATCCCAGAATTTACACGTATTTTTTGGCTGTTATAGATATGTGGGGTTGTGAGCTGTCATTGACAAACCCATGCAGTGAAACTAAGAAGCTGTTTCAAATCAGAAAAACGAATTGTGGCGGCAGCATTCACATTTAATTCGATTTATTGATCTTCTAACAATAAATAAAAGCCAAAGTAATACAAAGAAAGTGAAGAAAAAGAAGTAAAAACCAATAACACTTCAGCTGCCTAAATCACACTTTCAGTGCCACTTCAGATGATTTGCTATTACCTGCTTGACCTCCAGTTGCTATATCATATCTTCCAGTCCTGTGCTCTCCTACGCCTCTGCTGTCTTATGATATCTAAGATGGTCTGGACAGCTATGTTTAAGCAGCTGCATTTCACCTACTCATAGTGGTTACAGAGAGACAAACTGAAGCAATAAAGATTTCATATCTTAACAGCCAATACAAAAGCTGTTTTAAGCTACTGACCTGATTTCTGTCACAGATACAGCATCAACTTGTAAAAGGGACAGAGGGCAAGAAGAGAAAACTGTGGAAAATTGAGAGGCAGTGAAATAATAAGAGCCTACAGGCTGACATGTCAAACAAATTAAAGCCATTTACTTTCAGTAGGAATGGCAGTTGTCATAGTGCTGGAGCAATGTGACCTGTGAGTAAGTGGAAGAGCAATCCTCATGCTTAGCAAGGAATAACTGATGCAGAGGTTCACTGAAGCCACACAGTGAACATCTAAACTACTGATTTTCCCACTTCTGCTTTATTATTGAAGAACTTGCTGCAATTTTTCTGGTGCTACTTAAGGTAAGTTTTGTAGACTCACTAAAAAAGTGAAGTGTTTTCTCTATGCTAGGATGCATCCCACATCAAAGCCAGATCAAGCATCCCAGATCAAGCGCAAATGCCATGGAGATTTGTGTATTTGTGTGTGTGCACATTCAGAACTGAAATCTTGTCTTCGCACTTGAAGAGCAGGAAGGGCTGATGTTGTCAATGAGTTCAATATTGTGGATTCTGATGCTGAAAACTAAATATTGTGACTGGAGCTTTCATAACTTGAAAGTTACTTCTTGGTCTCGCCAAAGGTTACAAATATATACATACTTTAAATGTATTAACATCAGAATTTTTGTTACCATTTAATATAGTGTTACTTTATATTTTCCTGTTTTCTCCAGGTGCTACTGCTCGGGTGTGGTCTAATCCCATTGTATGCTAGCACCATTAGATGTTTGATCTTTGCAGAACATCTTTTGATCTCATTATGTTTTTTTTTTATTTGCTTTATTTCAGGAGTGGCCAAGAGTAGGAGAAAGCTCTTAATTGCACTTTCATGGCTTAATACACTCCTGAGTACAGGATTAAGCACTGGTTAAGAATCCTTTCCAGGGACAGGTTCATCCAGTCTCCCATTCAAAGCACATTGAACTCCATGTCAGTTTTTACATTAAGTTCAGAGGCTTTTGGCTTGCCCCATGAGAAAAAGAAAGCTTCTGGTGGAAATTACAACTAAGTGACTCTGCCAACTTTCAGAATAAAATTCATGTTCTATATATGTAGGCCAACTTGCCTGGCATAGCGAAAGAGAATCATAACTCTTGTTTCTTGTGTGTTTTTGACACAAAGATGTCTGTCCCAAAAGAATCTAAAGAAGCTTTACTACAAGTCAGAGCATCACTTCTGATCAAAAAGGGACTGAATCCAATAAATTCTGAGTCCTTGACAAAGATCTCTGCCCTCACACTCCACTGCAAGATTCAGATCCAAATTAGAAAATTAGCTGAAGCCATTACAAAATCATTTATCATATGAAGTTGCCGGGTGTAATAAGTGGCAGTAAGTTATCTAGCATACCTTTATACTTCATCCTAATTTTCCTTTCCTACAGCATTTGAGCTGTGCTGTTCAGCAGACCTTTCTTGTTGAATACATATACTTCAAATGCAGAAGATGTATTTCTAGCAACTAAATGCAGTCATTTAAGTGAAATACTGTAATGAATATACTGGAGAAAGAATGAAGATAAGGATAGAAGATGTAAAGTGCGTATTTTTGGTAGATGATTCTATTCTGAAAATAAGAAAATGAGAAAATATATGTAACTGTGTGTTGGTTAGTGTGTCTTGGAGCGGTAAATCAGTTCTCCATTCCGGTCTTTGTCATTCACACAGATGTGGCCTGAAGAGCGGAGGAAGCAGCTTCATTGTTTGCCATCTAAGAGACAAGCAAGAAATGAAAAGAGTTACTTTACTTGACTGGAAAACTCCCAACATTGCCCTTATCAGGTGCTTCCAAGTCACTCAGCAGGGTATTATGTAGGAGACACCTACAGAGGGTGGCTGGAAGGAATGTCAGTAATAACTGAGGTCAGGGCTAAACAGAGATGGAGAAGGTCCCTGCCCTGGTGGACCTCACCTCCTGCAAGTTCCTGCAAAGAGAGTAAGCCCACAAACCTACTGAGGCAGGGGCCAGAAGTGCCTCACCACAATCACAGAAATACCATGGGAGTAACCTGTGACTGAAAGCTCAAGAGTTTCCATAGCAGAGCCTCAGAGTTTCAGGGCACAACATGAATTTATATGCTGACAAGGACCTTGCCTCACTAAATAAAAAATTGCACAGAAAAGGAATTGTAATAGCAGTGGGAACATGACTACAGTGAACAGTTGCAGAAACCCTAAAGGATCAGTATTATGAGAACTGTGTTGCCTCGTTTTCCTTCTTCTGTATCTTCTTGTTAGCTCTGAGTTAATTGTTTTTCTCCCAAAGAGTACTGGGCATAGCAAGGAGTACCAGAATGAGGTGACAGTGCCAGAGTGCTAGCACCTGGAAGGAGACTGAAGATGCCTGGAGGCTGATCCACTGCATGTCAATAAGATGAGCTATTGAGTCTTCTGTGGGATTTGACATACAGAAGAAAGGAGTGGGCTACAGGGAAAGAGGGAATTGTAAAAATTCTGTAAATTTCAAAGGAAAAAAAATATACCAGGCATTTCAGTTACAAGGAGCTGTATACAAAGCACGACCAATTGGAGACATCATGAGGGTGCACTTGTATACACTTGTACCCAGCAACAGTTAAATAGACCCTACCCCCATCCTTCTATTACCAGCTCAGTAAAGTCATCAGCACAGCTTGCCCGTATTTGTTCAGCAGTCAGAGGGCTGTTCAGTGTAAAGGGCTTCTTCAGTCCTCTTTCATTCCTCACATTAGTTACTGCATCTCTCAAAGCGAAGAACACAGAGCATCCCAAGAAAAGTCCTGCCTCACCTATTCCCTGAAAAGGAAAAAAAGTCATATGGGTGTAGGTTTTGAGCAAATGGGAGGAGTACATGCCAGATGAAAATCAACTAAAAAGTTTAAAACCAGTCATTCAAGAACTGTTTCATCCTTCAGTAAGGAGGTTTATTTTAGATTTAGAGGAGGCAAGCTTAGATCACATCAAGTCCTCTGAAGGTAGCTGCTTCCAGTGTGCTAAAAAGGTTGATTTGAAGTGTCAGCCATTGTTTTTTAATCCTTTTGGCTCATTGTTAAACTTAAATTTAGAATAACTAGCAGATAAAATTAAAACCATCCGAACCCAGGTACAGCTAAAACTAAGGAACAAAGCTTGAACTCTTGGTAATTCCCTGCAGACAAATACCACTGATCTCAGTGGGCTTGACATCCTCTCACCAGTTCTGCCAGAAGATTCACATTTGTTTCTTACCTCAAAGATGGGTCAAATCCACCCTTATTCCATAGTCCTCTCAATGCTTTGGTATTAAATATTTTAATCTGAACTGCATTGGGATATTGCAATTGAATCTTACATATCTCTTGGCTAAAATCAGAGAACCAAGTATTTTCCCCAAATATGCTGCATGAACACAGAATTACCCCTTCTTACAGTGAATTTTAAGGGTAATTACTGGAGATAAGTTCACAGAAAAGCATAAACATTCTGTTTGAAGAAGGATATTAGTGTCAGTTCTCTAGCTTTTCTCCCAATCAACTGTTACTCCTTCACCTAGATGATTTTTTTTTCAAATTCAGACAGCTTTAAATAATTTTGAAGGATCTTTAATAATATTCTTTAATAATCTTTTTGTTCTTTATTAACTCTTGCTGTAAAATATGCTTTTTCCTTCTATTGTGCTGTTTCATTTTACTGTGTTCTAAAAGCAAACCTAATACTTGGAACAGATGGAAATTTTCACAATTACCTTCATACTGATTTACCATTACTATTTATATGAACCTGACCAGAATATTTGCTGGTGTAAATTGAAACAATGATTACACCAAGTGAAGACTTGAGCCAGTCTCTCATATACACACGTGCAGTTCTATTTTGTATTGCACAGCACACACAAGTAAGCTGCACACTCTCATTGGCATTATGATTTCTCCATCCATTGCTTTAGTATTTTTATTCTAACCCTTCAGTTTATCACCATATTTTAGAAGTATGGTTTTAAATTTAGCTTGTAGCTTCTGTGTATGGTCTGTTAACAAAACCCTAAAATCACTACTTGCCAATGAAAGTGATGCAACAATATCTCACATTATGTCTTTTCTTATTAGCTTTCCTGATGTCATAAATAAAACAATTTACTGGACACTTGTTTGAAATGCTAAAGAAGAACTGAAAACTTATACATGTTTTATACCAGAGTAATTTCTCTGTTTGTTCTGGGATTTAAAATTAGGCTCTGTGATGTTTTGCTTACCTTGGACGCATAGATGGCATAAGGATTTTGGGAAGATGACAGCAGGGAAACACTAAACTGTTCTGGAATATCACAAACAGCAGGGATCTTATACTGATCTGGACCCCGAGTACAGAGGACTCCTTCTGGAGAGTACTTTAATTCCTCCATTGTGTACAGTCCAATGCCTTGAACAAAAGCACCTTCAATCTTTAAATAAGAAAAGAAATAGCATTATGTTTGGTTCAGTGAGTAAAACTTTGTCAAGAACTGATTTGTTTCATTGTCTGTTAAAAAGCCTTTTTCTTTTCTCTTTGACTAATGCGATTCTTCAACATTTTGGGGCAGCTGTGACAATAAAAGCTTTCACACTCCTCTCTCATACCTGAGAGGACAAATGCTTTCATGATGAAGTGATGAGATCTGTGGACCAGCCTGCAATGAATAAAGGTATTTCCCTGCTATCAGGTGGGCAGGGCAGGTCAAACAACTTGGAGACTGCAGATCACAAACAGAATTTAAGTCCAGTAGACAATACATATATATAGATATTACACATTGCCCTCATGGGTAAAATTCAAGCTTCATTGACATCTACAAAGCTCTGACACTAACTCAAATGGGGCAAGTCTATAAGCAAAAGACCTTCAAATATTATCTATGATTTTATAATCTAGTAAGAAATGAATGTTTTCTGAACTAATGAGGTAATTCTCACTTCAGATAAGGATATCAATGTAACAGAAATAAGACAGCAGAAAATTCTTTGCACATACCTGTCCTAT